CGAAGTTCGCAAGTTTTTTACTCTCGCAATTTACAAGGGTCAAACCGGAACTAATTGTGCAAAGTTTAAAATTTATGATCAGATAAAAAATTAGAACTTCTTTACTTATGTACAATAATTAAGTATGTGTATAGTATGTTCTCAACACCTGAAAATATTTATATATAAATCATTATCACAATTGGGTAATTTTAAATATAGATCCATTCACATTCTTAGTTATAATTTATAAATAAAGAGTGTTGCAATCTGGCTTTGTCAAATCGTAAACGATCTATGAATTTACACCGAACCCATTATGATTTTTACTGCCGGAAATGCGCAATGTTAAAAACCCATTTCTGTTAGCAATTATATGTTTAACTAGGCTCGAAGCACCTAATACACAGAGTCGTTAGCATTTAATGCATCACAATGTCTAAGAATTGTATTTAATATTCTTATATTTCTTATTATTATATACCTCGTTTAATGCAATAATCGAATTCTCTCCGTAGCTCAATATTTCTATGATGTGAACCTTAAACTATACTAACATTTGTTGTAATTAGTAAAGTTTTGACCAATGCACTTGAACAAAGTTTCAGTTCCATCTTCAACAGCTTTAGCAGTCAATTATATTTTTATTGATAAAGTTTGCCCTTGTTAAACCAGCTTGACTATAGATGAGAAAAAAGAATTGTCTGTCTTTCCTGCCGTTTATGTATAAGATAAATATGTGTAACGATCACACACATATGTATGTATCATTGAAATCAGAAAGCCACATAATACTCTTAACATGTACCACGAAAACTTAGCTATCACGAAAATGATAAGCAGAAATTACTGTTGAGAAATTAGAATACAAAAAGCTAGAAAATTAAAAATATAGAGTTTATAATGATTAAATACTTGGACAGATGTATGTATGTATAATAAGTTCAACAAGTTAAATTGGCTACAAACATAACACCTAACAGAGGCAGCTTCCAGGCTGATTTCATTTCTTTAGTTGTCCCTCTCTGCTAAGATAGGATATTAACGTAATACTTAATACTTTAATTCTTACTCAGCGTGTTTCCCAACTCAAAGTTTTAGTAAGTCAATTAATTTTTTATAGAAACATCTTAAAAACAAGAAAAATCGTTAACTTCGATTGCAGCCAAGCTATAATACCCTTCACAAATACAAGGCTACTTACAAGAACTTGATTGCGATCATTCAAATTGTATAGCAGCTATATGATATAGTGATCTGATCTGAACAGAGCGAAGAATACATTGTTGCGTTAAACAACAACTCGTGTCAAATTTCGTAAAGATATTATGTCCAATAAAAAAGTTTCCTATACAAACACTTGATTCCGATTATACAATTTGTATGGCAGCTATATGCTCTAGTGGTCCAATATCGGCCGTTCCGACAAATGAGCAGGTTCTTGGTGAGAAAAAGTTAGATGCAGAATTTCATGGCTAAATCAACTCAGCTCATCACGCTGAACATTTATGTATATATTTTATAGGGTCTCCGACGTTTCCTTCTGGGTGTTACAAACTTCGTTGCAAACTTAATACACCCTGTTCAGGGTATAATAAGCTCTTGGCAAATGCAGCTGTTACGCGAGTCGCTCATATCTCTTTAAGATATATATGAACTGAGATTGTCATTACCTCATTTGATTTGTGTCAAAACGAAAAAAATATACGCAATAATTTCTTTTTTAGATAATAATTAAATAGTTTAGCTTTTATTTAACATTTTTAAATTAGTACATAATAATTATGCATTTATTTCAATTAAATTAATACATAAATTCACACTCATATGCATATTTTAATACTTTTATTAAATTTGTTGGACATTCAATATAAAATACTGCGCTAAATTTTAATTTCGAAATAAAAAATCAAAAACCAGACAATACAAGAGGCACAAAAGATATCAGGAAAATACTGTTTCCATATAATATATATATCACAAAATATTATATATTAAAGATTCATTTAATGTTTCTTTTAACTAAGTTAGTTTTGCGAAAACATAAAATACGAGAATTCATAAAATTTATTTAATTAAACATTTTGCAGCTTTTTTACTGTATTTTCTTATGAAACTGATGAGTTCTAATCATAGCGTTCATTTAACTTCCCATTGTTTACCATATATGACTACGAGTTTCGGTTTTATCTCACTTTAACTAATGGTAGTTTTTTATTTGTTTCAAGGATTTATGTGATTTGTTTATATAACTTTATTTTTATTAATAGCTTTTTTTAATTTTAACATTCAACTTTGTTTTTTGTAACGCGCCATTTTCTTTTTATTTTCAGCTCATTCAGTATATTACTTGTAGATTTATTTATTATATTACCTATGGTATATGGTATATCTTTCTGATGGGCGAATTCTTAAATTTCAAAAATAAAAGGAATAACAGTGATTAATTTATTTTATGTGTCTTTGGTTTATTTTTATTTTTTCTCTTTGTAATGCAGTCCACGCGTTAAATTTGAACAAACAACTTCATACATAATATACATATATATATATATATATACATATATATGTATAACAGCATGTGCGAGATAAATTAACTTAAGCTTACTCCTTCTCTCGGTAGGCTACACTCACAAATGTACCTTGAGAACACTTTGCTTTAATCTAATTTGTTTTATTATATTTAACTTATGGGTGTGAATGACTGGTAGTTTAATGACTGTAACATTATTTAATACATATTTATTTACATATACCTACATTAATTTTTTAAGGTACCTTATTCCAAATGTACAAAGGGCTGAAATTAGTACTTTATTCAACTATGTATGTACTTATATGTCTATATGTACATATTTACATGTACATATGTATATAAGTAATTCATAGTTAAAATAATATAACGTTACGCACTTTGCGAAACCAATGAACCGCTCGCGGAACTATTTTCAGACGTTGCACTGACAATTGGTTCTACAGGCATTTGCTATTTCCCATTATCCGTAAATAGTGTATAGCCAAAAATAACCGAACTCTTTTAATATAGAAAAAAATGCACCTTATATTATCTTTGAAATAGGTTACACTAGACTTACGTGACCACATTTGTCTCGGCTAAATCCATTTTCCATATTATAATTCACTGAAAATCGCGACTTATAATAGGTGAGCAACACAATTTTATTCAATTCATTCTTTTTTTTTTAATTTCTAAGCCCGTTTGGCCGGTACGAATGGTCAGCTAACATATGCATATAACAATACAACGTTTCGACCGATCAACCAGCGCATGCGCATGAATTTTTTACGTAAATTTTAGAAATATTGTTCAGCACCTTAGTTACGGCTGCTTGAATGGCAGGTGCATCATTATAAAATGCTCCTTACATATTGATTTTCAGTTTTGGAAAGGGAAATAGTCTCATAGTGATAGATCAGGCGAACCCGGAGGATGGTTGATGAGAGCAATCCGTTTTTCCATCAAAAACTCGACACCCAAAAGTCTTCATTTAATGCATGTGAAAGAAAAAGTGCAGAGAGCTTTCTTATATCCAAATGTTCAGTTAAAATTCTCCAAATAGTTCTCCAAAACAATTTCACGGACTTTTTCACGAATTTAGCACAATTAGCAGAACAATCTTGCCTTTGGTCGTCATTTAAATCCTCACAACCATTTTGAATTCATGTAAACCACGTAAAAACTTGAGTACCAGTCATACAATCAACTTTTTCCATCAATTCGTATGTCTAGGCAATTTTTTTTTTTTTTAAGTTTAACACAAAACTTTATATTTGCTCTTTGTAAAAATTGAACAATTGCAGCCTTCTTTTATTAAAATGGCTGTAACTTAAACATCTGTCATCCGATTTAGAAATTAGGTGCGTTTGATGGATGGGTGTATATTTTTAATGCTGCAAATTAAATATAAAGTTCGGTTACTTTCGGACACAACTTGTATTTGCAGACTTTTTGTGTGTATGTTTTTCATCACTATGAAATTGATTACACATAATTAACTTAAATTTTAAGGATTTTCAAATGCATTGCCGAAATTTATGTAAAACAAGAACAAACTTAACATGAAATATGTGAAATTATATTTGGACCTACATATATTATACATGTATTTGCATATAACCGAAAGCTAATTAAAAAAATGCGTAAATAGTTAAAAGCTTATAGTGATTTTTAATTCTATGATATTGTATGAGTTTTAATATAATATAATAATATTACATATTTTAACTCTGAAGCATACATATGTACATGTGAATGTATAGCTATTAATGTATGTATATTTATCTTTATATCGAACAATAACCGCCGATATTGCGACAAATGGATGGTATTTTTTACGATTCGATGGCACCGTTTTTCGAAACTCCAAAATAATTGAAACCCCTTACCCATTTTTCATAAAAGCATAAATATATGTGCCTAAGACATTTTTTGTGATTTATTAAGATGTTCGTTTGGTTATAAATGAATAATTCTGCGTGAATTACGTTGAAATCCAAATGAATGACAATGAAGATTTAGTCGTTGCTGAATCTGGGAGAGGAAACTTGACGCAAATGTCACAAAATAAATATCTGAACACTTTTTGCAATTCAAATTAAGGCCCATAATACGGTTCTCAACCCATCTGCGTTTTGGTAGAAGTTTTGAAATTCGGTATTGTCGATATCGATTGTCAAAAAAACATTTCGGTTGAAGTGTTGTCAAACTTCAACTTTTTTATGATACTACGGTTTTCAATTCTGTGTCAGTAGTTAAATATGGGTAAAAAAACAAACTATTTTATTCAGAATTTTAATTTTTGAACTTATGGAGTGAAATTCCGAAGCTGGATGCAGCAAGCTACAATTTAGAAACAGTAAAAATCAAATGAAGGGACCGTGGGAAGCGTTTCGAACATAAATAGTCGTTACAATCTTCTACTCCTAGGAATATACTTTTTTGAGTAAAATTCATTTTTTTAAGTGTCTTATTCCTCTTTAGTCATTTATGTGCCACTACGCACAAATGTGGTTTTCATAATATTTAAAAGCAGATTTTGTAACAACCATAAATATCGCAGATTGTTTCAGACCTAAGTTAAAATCATTTAAAAATGCATTCTTAATAACTAACGGCAGCAAGAGAACAGAGTTTGTGGTAATCTTCCTTCATTTTACTTAGTAAAAAACAAAATTAATCCTCATTTTAACGAAAAAAACTTATGAATCTGCAACAGACTTTATTTTAAAGCTTTGGCTTACTTAGTGTTAGGAAGTTCCAATGGATTTGAGTGATCACGAAGGTTTTTTCTTATGCGCAGCACATCATTGCAATATAAGTCAAAATGTCCATTTTAATAATTATTAACCTTTTCATGCGCAATAACTAAAATAAATTGTTTTAATTTTTCGTTTAAAAATTTTAAATTGTTTAATTCTTAGTCAAATCTTCTATTTGTATATTTCTATATTTTTATGTTGCAAACACCAATGAAACTTCGACTGAAAACAGTTGTATTGTAGTTCGTAGTACTAATAACACAGTTGTGTTGCTCTGAAGTTGAACTGCTTCATTTTTAATTCAACTGAGTGGAGTTCAAAACCGTAATGGGGTATAATTCTAACATATTTCATTCAATTTCATTAAACACAAAATTTCCTGAAAAATTTTAATTGTTTGCCTAAATCAGTTTGGCGGTTATGGCTCGATATGTATATAAATCTTTAACTGCTTTAATTTTTGATAAAACTTTTATAGGTTCTGGCAATCAGTCATATTTTTTTCTCTTTTTAATAATGTTAATTCATTTTCTTTTTATTTTTTAAACGTTTTCAGAGCAGTACTCTGCAGACAAAAGAAATAATGCAAATAGAAGCACTAATCCAGATGGATGTACTCTGAACTTGTCTTGACTACAATATAGAACTTACAGTGAAATATCAAACTAGACGGGTATTATTTAAAATATTTAAACAAAAATCAACAGTGGTTAATTTAACCATTAAAATCCCGTAATATATGTATATATATACAGATACATAGTTTAAGAAAAATATAAAAGTTAAACATATAATATCAAAATATTCAAATATAAGTGATTTTATAATCTCGAAATTAGACAATTCTCACACGCAAATTTATATATAATTTAATTATAAAACGATTTTTTAATTACAAAAGAACACTCGTGTAATTATTTGTGTTTGTGGTTCATACTAATTACAAAGTAATAACACACACATGTTATTCAACTGTCGGCGAAAAGCGTTTCTTTGTTGTTACTAACTGCATGGATTTTATACATATACATATGTACTTATGTTTTAAGCCAAGCTAGGAAATACTCTCAATCCGGTGAAAAAAAATTTTATCTGCAAAAACTGTTAATTGTTGAAACAATTCTTTAAAGTTACCTATATCATGAAATAACTTCTTGATAGTATTTTTAAAATACACTTGGAGGTACAAGGGCTTCGATAATTCGACGAAAATTGTCACGCAAATATTTCTGAATCCCAGTATAATATATGAAGAATGAAAATATACAATTCGATTTAACTATTATAACATATAATATCATGTGTCAGTAAAAATATAATAAAATTAAATGTAATGTTGGATAATGTCGTTACAACAGCGATTATAAATTTATAATTTAAGAATAAAGAAGTACTGTCATATTGGTAATTGCATTGCGCGTTAGGTACATTTGGAATGAGAATACGTACTGTATGATCTGTTGCCGCATAGAAAAACCTTCGGTGAAGCAACCGGTTTTATTCGGTCTAACAAGTTAATTTACCAAGACGGTAAATTATTTTACATCTCATACACTTCTACGCTATTATATAACTATGGAACATGCTTAAACAAAAGAGAGCATATGTGTAATTTTGTTTCAATTATCTATTCCAGAGATTGATTAACTGTAGAATGTACCGTTTATAAAATTAACTTTTTGATTAGAATTTAAAAATAGAATAGAAAAAATAAGCATCTACCAATTATAAAAACGGTAAACGGACTTTAAAAATTGTTAATAATAACTAAAAATAAAAAAAATATTTTAAAGCAAATTAGTATGTTACTTAGGCAAATATATATTTGGTGTACCAAGCAAATTTGAGCTTTCTCTTAACGATAATTGTATATGTTTACTTAGCATACAATAATTATGTTTACTTTTTTAGTTTATAATTTTTTCTAACTTTATTAGTTCATAGTTTTTAGCAATTTAGAATTTTTTTCTTTCATAATCTATCTTGAAACAATATCTGTTCGCTTAATTTTTTTATCCGTTTTTTTTTTCTTTTTGGATTTCATTATTGTTTATTGTATTATATAATTTTTATTTACAATATTTCTTATAAGTAACTTTACAAATACCCAAATTTACCTAATACTTTTGTTCGATTACAAAAAAGTCCAGTTTCGCTTTTAGTTCGAAACAACAAGAACAGAAGTAAATACTTAAAATATACAATACACATAATGCAAAAAAATGCGATGGATATTATTATCATTATAAAACTCACGTTAGTTAAGTTTAGTACGGATTGTTTGAGCTTGCTTTGCCCTCTCGCTCGTTAACATGGCTAGGACCAGTAAAAGGCATTAAATCGAAACGCACTCACCTGATGTCTGGTTCGAATATAGGTCTGTTAAACAATATACAGTTATGTACATCGTTAAAGTGTTTCATCGACTTAAAAATAGTAGTATTATAAAATAAATTTCGTAAGTTGACCTCTCCATTACGGCTATGGTTTTCTGTTTTCGACTTTTGTAGCTGTAAATTGTTTTTAAGTTGTATATCGTTGAAGTAGCAGCCGCAGGTATTAAACATTCCAAATTTTCTTCGTTTAACTTGCTTTCCAAGCATCTCGGTTGCCAGCAACACGAGTATGTTTAGAAGCCACGCAACCAGATGCTTCAAATGCTTGCTATCTTGATCCCAACTGCTGCCAATGTTTGCATATACCACTTGACATATGCTAAGGTGCATAAGTACATTGACAGGTACACTAGGAGATAACGACTTTGGGACATTCGAAGATATACTGGTCCCGCGCGCTGCATTGCTGCTGGGAACTCCCCTGGAAACGGAATGAGAAACACCTATTTAATTTACATCTTTTTTCTGTCCTTTAACACCATCACAAAATGAAATAATGACAAGTAAATATATGTACATATATGTATATGATTAGCTCCCAAAATATGTTAACATTATTATTATCTTTAAATAAATAATAATCGCTGAAATAGCCATTTAAAATATTGAAGGAATTAGAGCTGCCTACGCTGCCATATAAAGTTCTGTTATAAACTCTGCGAACTAATACTTCTTGAAAGTATGTTGAACGCAACGACGTCCTAGAGCATAAAGATACATTCCACTAAACTTAACTTACTAAAATAAATAACTTTTGAAGTACTTGGTAACTTACAACCAATTCATGTGTGCTCACGAAAAAGGGAGAAATCTTATCTAATATTTTATGACTTGTTGTGAATATGTTTATGCTACACGCTTACATGTTTATTTGAGATTTTTTTAATTTTCAATTCATTAACATTATTAAAGTACGTTGCCATATATGCACGTCAATATTTATACTTACCATTCAGCACATGAACCGTTACGCTTTTAGGTTTTGCATTTGATGGATTGCACTGATAGTGTCCGGAATCTGAAGGCCGAGCAGATTTTATAAGCAGAAAAGAAGTAGTAGTTTCTCCTTTATTTGTTACTACCGAGACACCACCACGAGGAGAGTCGTAGTTGATAATCTGGAATTAATAATTGTAATATTGCATTTAAGTGCGTATTCAAGTTCTTCAGCCAGACGCCATAAATAAATAACTACTATAATACCTATTTATAAGAGAAAAGGCTTTGGAGGACCCCTAGTGGATTGCAAAAAACGGCAACGGTGCGAAATGTCACAATCAATATTTTTATTACTCTGTAAATGGAAACCTTGAAATGCTCGAAGGGGAAGGGCAAAGAACTCAAAAATCTTCTTTTAAAAATAGTGGAATGTACCGCTAATATTAGCTGCCTTCGATTCGCCAAGCGTTACTCTACAGCGAATCGAACAAACAAAACCAGCAGCACTTGTGGTGCAACCCTGCGCTAACATGTCTTCTAACGCATGTATAGCGTTAGCAAAGTGTTAATTTATTTATTTATATATCAGCAGTTTATTTTATACAAGGATATGTCATTTATATACATAGTTATGTATATAGTATATATTTACTTACAGCGTTGTTATGATTCCAAAATATGTACGCAGGAGGTTCAGGAGAATTCAATATTACACAAGTCAGATTTATTGTAGAACCGCTCTCTATATAAAGATCCGGCGCGCCAATGATTTCCGTAGAAGGTTCTGAAAAAGCATTGCACATAAAAAGTGAAACATTATTTTAAAACTGGATTTAGCTTATAAATCAAATAACAAATTCTGAATGTTTCCATAGCTACAATACTTTTAAAAATATTTTTATACATATCGATATGTACGATTATATTATATTTGCATATGTATTAGTCTTTTACTCACCAACAACATTCAAGTGAATATAATGGCTCATATGTGGCGTGGTCGATACTTGGCACTCATATATACCGGAATCTCGATGTTGAGGATACTTAATTTGCAAAATCCAGTCTTCGGTTTGTGGCTGATGAATAGCACGAAAGCGCTGATCCGATGTGTATGTATACCGTCCAACAGTTAGCAGATGGATGTCTCGATGCCGCACCCAAGAAACTTGCAAGAGCATCTGAAATAAGATTTTTGTTTGAAGTCGCAGACTAAATAAAAGTATCCACTAATTACTTATTAAATTAAATTTTTTTTTAATTTACTACTCCGATGCATTTCGGTTAAAATCGATAACCACTCAATCCGTAAACAAAATCCGTAACAAAGACTTAGCAGAGGTGTAACCACTCCCACTCCCCATATAACTATTAAAGGTGCGATAACTCATTAAGTAAATATGACAATTAATTTCATATTCCAGATGGGACGAAACTGCTTCATATGAGCCGGAATCAAAATTAGACAATAGGCGCACCGCCAACCTTTAGGTGAAATCGCATATATGAAAGTGTTTACCTTACAGTATACAAATCAAATATCAATGAAATTATCAGAATAAAACATTGCACATATAGAGCACTTAATATATGACATATCGAAATCGGACCATAACTAAAATCGGAGCAGATACCGAACATGTGGACTATGCTGACTGACTGGACTTATGGATGACATTTTACCAAAAATAGCGGTCACTCTGTAAGATATAACAATGAAACTTAGAGTATGTCTTTTCCTGGTGCTAAAATCGGGTCAATGCTTCCCATAGCTCCCATATACTTAATATAAATAATCAGATTGACCTTATACCATATACCATATGTGTACCGGTCAATATGTGATTTACCTAAATGAAACTCATAGAGCATCTTTTTTTAAGAATAAAAATACAGACTTTCCGCAAATGGTTCAAAAATGGTAGAATGCACTCTCACTTTCCATTTCTGGTAAAGGGTAGACTTTGGACTGAATAAATATTTTAATGCAATCACGGATCAGATCAATGAAACTCACCGTTTTATTTCCTAGATTTTTCACACGACAATTTAAATATGCCGTTTTTCCGAGGAGTGCTGTTATATTTTTCGATGCAGCTTTGTCAAAGTATGGGCCATTACGATTATCTTCTGTTACTTCAATCACATTACGATTGCCGATGGATGTCCCCGAATAATGTGCGGTACTGTTCTTCTGCACACCGCCATAATATACCGAATTGCTCACTGTACTAAATACTCCTACAGTTACGAAAGCGGTACTTGAAGTGACGATCGGTGACAGTGTGACATAATTGGACTTATTACGTATATCAGCCGCTGCTAGTGAAACATTGACAACAGGGCTACCGTTGCTCGCATTGTTCCTAGATCTAATGGTGTTGGCATCGCTAATGCTATCAAAGTTACCATTGGCATCGATCCCGCTTGCCGTAGGCATGTTACTATTCAGGTTGTTGGAATTTTTTTGTTTAACTGAGTCCCGTTGTGATGCTAAAACTACAGATTAATTTAGTACAAAATATTATAATATATGTTTCGATGTTTTTTTTAAATTACTAAGATCTAACTAACTTTTTAAATAAAATAAAATTACTTATATAATCACTTATCACTTACATATTATATATATTTTAAATAATTTATTAAACTAAGATCAGAACTTTATTAAATTTGAAAAAGTATATTGGAACTTACCAGTGCTTTCCGATATTACAACAGCCATCATAACAGCAAACAATAACATTATCGTATGTATTGAATCTGTCATTATGCTGTAATTAACGCCCAATCTCCAGAAAGTCAGTCTATGTTTCGGTGTTAGCCCCTTCGCTTCACCAAGACTGCTAACAGTCATATTTGCCGATTTCCTGGTAACACAATTCCACTTTTGTAGCCTCCGGCAATACTTGTAAATAGTACATGTTCCCAATCTTTCATTCAAGCTCAACTGCATTCGATTTTGCCTGCTATACCCTTTATCATTTAACAATTTACCGAATACACGCCGTTGAAATTGTTGAATATGTTGAGAACGTTGTATCTTTGGGACAGTTGGAGAAGTTGTAGAGCTCATGGTTTATTTATATGTATATGGTATATGTTACTCTTCTGGGTGTTAGATTTGAATACAGATCTATTTACTTTTTAAGTTTATTTAGTCGCTTTGGGGGGGAGTGGCCAGTGTGGCTTTTTTGAGTCGAACAGCTGTTAAAACAGCTCCTTAACATTACAAAGTGCATATCTATTTTGAGTGGAACAAGTAAGCATGCGAAGGGAAAATCTTTTGATTTTTTGGATCACTTAAAATTTCCGTTTGGTAATGTGTTTATTTCGCTCACTGTAAAGTAGGATTATTGACCATAAAATAATCTGCAAGTACTCGTGATATTTGGTATTCTACCATTTTGTGTCATTATTATTCGTAGTAAATGCTTGATTGTCATTTAAATCTGTAACTGAGGTAAAAAAAATTGTGTATAAGTTACAATAATAATAAAATCTCGTTATTCCCATTTTTCAAGCCCATAGGACTATTTTAATATATTATATTTGCTTTGAATTTGATTATACTTGTAATCTTGAACTGGAAGTACCATTGCGCCATAATTCTAACACGGACGTTACACGATCAAGAAATTGCTATCAAGCTGAATGCACTCAGACTTTTCGAACGTGAACGTTGTCTCAATATCAATATTTCCTATTCAAGGTTTGAGGCAACCTGACGATCAAGTTATAACAGCTGATCACATCGTTTTGCAATCAAATGCCAAGGAAATTGTCGGGAATATGAATATTTCGTTTTATTAATGGATTGATATCAATACATAAATATATCAATCGCTCAAATATATCAATGAAATTAAAATGTCTGTGTTTCTCGAGTAGCTTATAGGACAAAACAAGTAAAGTTGAAAAAAAATAGATTTTGAATATTTCGTTATATTAATGGATTGATATCAAAATATAAATATATCAATCAATTTTCGCTGAAATTAAAATTTCTGTGTTTCTCGAATAGCGTATAGTGCAAAACAAGTAATGTTAATAACTAAGGTAAGGGCTAAATTCGGGTATAACCAAACATTTCAAGCATCAAATCCGGGAAAATTGTTTCATATATTGGCAAAACTCTATATCAAACTAAAGAAAGTATTGCCGTGATTTCATCCATTTAAGGAAAGAGGATACACTGGTATTAGAAAGAGAATTCATTAAGATTTCTTACATATTAACCGATAGATGCAGTATAAAATGAACCGGAGGTTCAAAAATATTTATGTTAGGTATATGGAGGATAAGAGAAGTGTTGATTTGCTTTTACCCATTTTTGGCATAAATTATAGTTCGATTTCGACAATTTTTGGACGAAATACTCTAAAGTGAAATATTCACCATTTAGATGGCGAACCCAGGCCCACTTTCAAAATATTTTTAGTCCACAGGTACAGTTATTTGTTTAATTTGCGGTTTATTTATGGCACTTTGAATGTTTTCGTTTTTTGGGCGTGACAATGGACCGATTCCGCCCATCTGCAATATCAACCTCCCTTGGGTGACAAGAAAGATTTGCACCAAGTTTTATCAGGATATATCTCAATATTTACTCAAGTTATCGCTTGCACGGATAGACTGTCTCTAGGAATTCAACACTTCGCATCATCCTGATCATGTATATATATATAACTCCATATCTATCTTGTTTTAGGTAATACAAGCAACCGTTTGGTGAACAAAACTATTATACTCTGTAGAGACATGTTGCAAGAGTATAAAAAAAGCAACAAAATCTGGATTTTGAATATACCCTAAACTGGTTTTCGTACCACGAGATTGCTTTTTTCGACTCATCTCTTCCTATTCCTTCTTTCTATTATATTATTAGTTTCATGCAAAACTTTCAAGAATTTTAAGCGTTTTTCATGGCGACAGTATCTTGAAACTAGTATTGATTATCAACTTCCTTGCAGCCTACGTCACGGCTGTCAGTTTAAATCAATTTTGACAATTAGTTTGTGTGATTAACTTGAAAGTAAGTTTTCGAACGTGTAACTGTAGCGCAAGGTGCAGATGATAAACTACATTAAAAGAAGGAAATATTCAACAAAATATCCCACCCTTACGATTTGGATGGAGAAGGAAGGCAATCTTTGTCTCTTAGTAAATAGCTCGTATTTCAATTAATATTGTAATATAAATATAAATATGTTTGTACCACGCTTTAAAAATATGTACCACAATAAGGCAAGCTTGTTAACAGATTGTTTCTGAAAAATTAGCCCAACTAGTATTTAGTCATTAACAACTTGTGTTAATTGAAAAAATTCAAAATAACTCTCTTTTCGATAACCAAAAAAAAACTTGTACAATTTGCATAAATTGACATTTTAACACTCTTGAGTGAATATTAATACAGTATTATAATCCCAAAATTCGTTATCACGATGGATCGATAAGCGTAGCTTGTTGAACAGTTTGAGGGTGGACTTTTGCAATTTTAGCTTCCTCCAACTCCTTGACGTTAGCGACAGCGCATATTTTGAGGTGTTCCTTGACACTTTACTTTCAGCCTGGGACGTAGAAATGTTTTTGAGCGTTCCACTAGCTTCAAGTCTTCCAAGTACCAGTCTTTTTAAATTCAATAATAATGTATGCAATAGTATGTGGTTTTTTGAAAATATTGCCTATTTCGCGAGTAATTTTGTTCTCCTGCCAATATTTAACTACCTGAGCTTTTGTTAATTCACCATTTTTTCTGCAAAAACTACAACCGCACAGAATTAATTCGCTTACCGAAAAATAAATTTTCACCATACTCAAAAACATTTAAAAGTTTGCCAATATATGGTAAGTATACAAGTTTTTTTTGGGCTGCTCAAAAGTGAGATATTTTAATGATGTTAAATGAAATGAAAATGATTCAATGTAAAATTTTTTATAAAAATACATAAGATTCTCGTATTGTTACGCTTGGTTGCAGTTTAAAAGTTGAAATAGTATAACAGAAAAGTCCCTTCAAAGTCAAAGCATCGCCCTGTAAAAATTTTTATTTTTTGGTTCACTATACTTCATTTCCTTTTTTTTTTTTTTGATCCTTTAAAATTGCGAAGATAAATCAACTTGAGAACTTTGCACTTTCTCCTCTATTGTTCGGCTTTTACCAGACTCGGAAATATTTCGATAGACACACCTTCGGCGAACCTACCGTAGTGGCCGGGTTTGATGGTTAATAACTCCTTAACAAATTTATGGTAAGCTCAAAACGCTTAGTCGATCTATGAGGATCTGGTGTTCCAATTTTAGAAGCTTTTGGGTATTCAAGTCTACTAAACATAGTGATTTTTATTAAATTACTTTTAAAGGCGCTACAAACCACTGTTACTACCGAAAAACTAAAATTTGACGAATTCTAACCAGTAGAGAGCATCATACCAACCAAAAACTATTGCAAGAATATCGTCATTACTTGTTTAAAATGTATTTGATTTTAATATGCATGTAAGACATGTAAAGGCACTTAAGAGCTTACAAGTTATGGTCAATAATGAGTACTTAAACCTAATTGTGAATCTATTCCGACAATTTTTTTAATAATCATGACTACTTCTCTTTTGTCTGTGTTATATAAAAGCTTAAGACTTCATGCGATAGTTCTAAGTTTTCAAATTGTTGCCATTTAAATAAAAATGCTGCAAAATCGCAACGAATGCTTGTCGGGGCATATGGTGAAAGATGGTTGCAACGGCTCAAATATAATGATAATGATGTGAAAAATGAATAACGTGGAAGAACACCAAAAAAGTTTGTAGACGCCGAGCTGCAAGCAATTTTGGATGAAGATGATACTTTGAGTCAAAAGCAAATGGCAGCCACGTTAAATGTTGCACAACAAACAATTTCAGAGCATTTGGAAGCTATGGGAAAGATGCAAAAGTGTAGAAAATGGGTGCCACATGTATTGAATGAAAAACAAATGGAAAACCGAAAAAACACTTCTTTCAAAGACAGGAAAGAAAATCAGTTTTGCATCGAATGGTCACTGGCGATGAAAAATGGAAAACGGAAAAAATCATGGGTTAATCCGGGACAATTATAAACATCGACTTCAAAAACAGATCGATTCGGTAAGAAGGAAATGCTCTGTATTTGGTGGCAAAAACCTGGTGAAACTGTTAATACTAAACGCTACAGACAACAAATGTTCAATTTGAACCATGCATTGCTCGGAAAACGACCAAAATGTGCCAGAAGACACGGCAAAGTAATTTTGTTACACGACAATGCACTTGCACACAAATCAAAATCGATTCAGGATACAAACAAAGTATTTGGCTGGGAGCTGCTACGCCACCCGCCGTATTCACCGTAGACATGGTCCGTTTACTATTTGTTTTCAGCGGTGGAACACGCGTTCGCTGAGCAGCACTCGATTCCTACGCAGAAGTCGAAAATTGGGTGTCTGATTGGTTTGTTTCAAAAGACGAACATTTCTATTGGCAGAAAGCTGGTCAAAATGTGTAAAAAGCAATGGTGTATAATTTTAATAATTTTTTTTTACTTTATTATTTACAAAATAGACTTTAAATCACTAAAAGAATTAACAGATTTTTAAGATTTATAAAACTTTCTTCGCGCTAGTGCATTCACATTAAGCATGTACATACATACATATACATATGTGTACATACTAGAAAGCACAGACAATTAAGTACAAAAAAAAAGCCAGCTAAACTTCTATTTGCACTTAATATACTTTGTACGCATACATCCATAGGTACTTTAATCTACCGATATATTACATACATGTTTATACAGCGTACAAATATTCATTTACATATGTTTGCCTACATGTACGCATTAAGTTAATTAAGCGAAGGCTGTGCACATATGATGCGCCTTAAAAAAGTTGTAATACATAAAGACTACAAAGTTTTGATGTTTGGTATAAATTAAAACATATCCACACCTTAAGTTCATATTTTGAAATGAAAATTAATTTGTTGAAATGTTTGCACAACGGATGCTACAATGTGTCAATTTGAATGTATGCGGGATAATCGTTGAAGTTAAAACGATTATTTCGCATTCAGAAAATTAGTGTGAAGAGTGAAATTTTACGAGTGTGTTGGAAACTAAAAGATTGTTTTTAACTAATTTAAAAATGATACTTAAGTAACTTAGATATATGTCAGCACATACGCATACATATACATATGCTTTGAAAACAGTTAAATGAAAAAAATCGTACATATCGTCAACTAAAATTAAAAAAAAAACGTATTATCAAAAATGAGAAATTTAAGTTTTTTTTTTTTAATTACCATTCACAATAACATATTATAATGCATACGTATAAGTAAAACGTTTTAAACTTATGAGATAAAACTAAGTTATAAGCAACATTCAAAATAATATATCTTTAATTGCATAGTTTTCCATTGTTCATTTTTTACTTCTCCTGTAAACACGTGAAAAGTGATGTTACCTTATTTTATATTTTTATATTTTATATTTTAGGTGACGATATACATATCTATACATTTTCATGCTACATACATACATATATATGTACATACATATATAAATTTTATATGATTTACCGACGGTTTAAATTGATCACAATAAACACATTTTTTACGTTAATATGAGTACTAAGTTATTAATTAATGACTCGCTTAAATTATCGTTTAGTTTTTGTCTTTCGTTTCAAACTTTAACCAAATGCGTAAATTGAAAAAATTAGAGTGATTATCGCATTGATTTCACTTTTTTTCTCTTTCAGATAGAATGAGAAACCATTATAACATAGACATCATTATATTAGAATTTAGTTCAACGGAAATTCGACTATCTTTCACCCACAGTAATTTTTAAATATTATATTTGTGATGCGTATATTTATTTTGGTATCCTAAGTATGTTTTTTTTCGATTTTTTTATTTTATGTATTGTATGTATGTACGAACAAGTAAAATTTTCTTCTGTACTCGCTGAATCACTGAGGACGGAGAGAAAGAAATACGAAAACGAATGAACCGTCCTTGACTCATGTAAATATCTCGGCACTTGGCACAACCACTTCACAATTTTATTCTCCTTCGCATGTGGAGGAGAGGACTGGATACGGGGTGTGGCGGAAGCTTTAACTAGTACCAACTGAAAATGGAGGCATAAAGCACAATTTCACATATTCTTTCTGAATTATTTATTAACATTCTTACTTATACAGTTTTTGTAATAAGTCGCACTTTTTCATTTCCTTAAAAAATATTCAAAATTTTTCGCTGTACATCCACTCTTGCAAAAGTAATTTATTATTATTCGTAACCGATCACGGAGTCTCTCCTGTTATTTTCAAATATATGTATAAGCACATATAGGGAATCTAGGCGTTTGCAATGTACAAATATATTTTAGTGGGAATATTTTTAGTACCGATAGTAATTTTCATTTAGTGCAAAATAAAGTGAATAAAGTAACCAACACAGACACAAACACTTACACTAAACATTATGGCAGCAATTATAATATTACTCCATAAATTTTAATTCCGAAACCGCCGTTTTGGTCGTTTTCCTCGATAGAACGTCTTTACAACTCGATTGCACAGAGAGCACTGCCGAAAGGGATGAAAAAAGTGCCGACTTTGTGGCTCACAAACGTGAATTTGCTAAAGCCGATGCGTTCACATGTATTATCGTACAGTTTCGTGTTGTAGAAAATTGAGAATTGAGAGAGCATAACCCTCATAAATATGTACATTCCAGTTAAAACTCAAAAAATTCCAACAGAGATTACGTGGGTCTTGTAATCCTTGAGAGATATCCTTAGTAGAACTGCAAATATCTTCTGCAATGAGTGCTTAATAAAAGCTTTTACACTTCGTAATAGTCTCAGCTACCCATTCGCTGTTACTTACGTTTGCATTTATTGCTCCTCGCGTATTTTTCACTGAAAGCTACTGGTTTTACATATGGAAAATATCAACCCACTTTCTCTGTACCATTGTACCTACTTAGAATAACGTCAAATGTGTGCAGTTGTTATATACACAGAGCTTTTATGAAGTAAAGTACAATTTTTTTTTTAATATTATAAATAAATTCGACATTAAATTGCTGCAGGCAAATGTACTATAAGTATATGTACTATATTGTTACAGCAGGTACTTATATGCGAAACTCATGGCATATACGGTGACCGACAATGGTTTATATACGACTCACCAATAACTAATTATTCAGGTTGTTACAACTTTCTTTTAATTTTGGAAAGACTGAAGTCTAAACGAACAACAAAATGCTGCTGGAAGCTTTCTTAAGGGTTGTCGCGCTAGTTACCCCATCGGTCCGCTCGCTCTAAAAGCTCCCAGGTGTGCTCAATAATATTCAAATTCGGACTTGGCAGTAAAGTGTTTAATTCCGCGCTGCACTTTAGAGCAAAAACCATTACAATGTGAGCCGTGTGTTTAGGGTCGTTGTCCTCTTGTAAAATGCAGCTTTCATCAATTGTAACTTTCCGAACACTATTTTTAAATTATTCCCAAATGTATTCATATAGCCATTAATAAAATATATAAAACCAAATTGCTATTACTAGAAAACTAACTTGCTATTTCAGACGCAGCTAAAGATTTCCAAAATAATGACGTTTCCTTCATTCTTTTTATTAGAAAAGTGTTTCAAATCAAGCGCAGTTTTTGTGGCCTGATCACTTCAATATATAATATTAAACATCGAATCAGTGGTAAACAAGTCGTTCTTCCATAAATCAAAGCTCTTGTATTTATGCTTATAAGGAAATTCTAATATATTTTCATACGATAACTTCACTTATGTACAATTCAATACTTTAAATGATAATTGTGCATAAAATAGCTTAAAGTCTTAATATCTATAACTCTCAAATAAAATTATAATTGTATATTCTCGCAACATCTTACAATTGAGTGTAATACTGGTACCTAATACCTAGAGGTCAGAATAGCGAGACGAGTAGAATTCCAATATGTAAGATGCAATTAACTAAACAACAAATCAGTACGCGAATTACCCCAGTTGCTATTTATTACATATAATAATTTTCGTTATTTGGGAAAATTTATGTCTACTATAACGAACAGTGTGTGACTTCGTCATTGAATTACGTGGAAACATGTTTTCGGGTATATTTGATTATTACAAAAAGTTAAAACAATTGGACCAAACCTTGCCGTGGCCTCAATATACCCAATATAGTAATATCCGACTTTCGACCGGACGTTAAATGTTTATGTTTGTGTTGGTAAAAATTTAGGATATTTTATTGAAATTAAGTAGGTCTTAATAAAAATAGTGTTGTTCAGCGCTGAATATGAATGAAATGTGTCTAAGCCTCATATCCCATGCTTTATATTTTCGATTCTCTGATGGCTGTGTCTTCATATACCATATTACATATGTATAAGTATTTCATTTAATTTAATTAGGTTGATTTTAATTTAAAACAAGAAATAACGTTAACTTCGGTTGCACCGAAGCTATAAATACAAAAGATTCCTTACACGAACTTGATTTCGATCGGTCAGTTTGTTTGGCAGCTATATGCTTTAGCGCTTTATTTCACCACAGCCTTAGACAATGATCCATGTTAAATTTCAAGACGATATCTCGTCAAATTATAAAGTTTTCGGTACAAGATTCCGTTCCTTCGATCGATCTTATCGATCTGAAATTTTGCTATATGCTATAGTGATCCGATCTAAAAAATTTCCTTGGAGATTGCACTATTGCCTTAGGCAATAACCCGAGCAAAATTTCGTGAAGATATCTCGTCAAATGAAAAAATTTCCCTACAAGCACTTGATTCCGTTCGTTCCCTTAGTTTTTGTGCTATCGATCTGAAATTTCTTTCGATCTTAAGTTCTTGCGCACCCAATGTATACTACCGCTTTTGTTCATCTAACGGTTGTTTGTAAGAGTTAAAACTAATCGAAATAGATATAGTTTATATATATGAAAATGTTCAGAGCAACGAGACGAGTTGAATACCGGGTGACTGTCTGTCCGTTCGTCCATGCATTTGTGCAAGCGAAAACTTAAGAAATAATTAAGATCACAATATAAATCTTGGTAAACCTTGGCAGGTTGAGATTAGCCAAAACAAAAAAACATTTTTTTTAACATCTAGAGGCCCACTCACTTTTAAAGTAAATTTCGAGTTAAAATTTTTTTTGGTTTAAACTCTTCACATTTATATAAAAACTACCGAATTTGACGGTTTTTGACTCAAAATTTATTTTAACGCTTAAGGAAAGTATGTTGGCGTTTAAGACTTTTTTTAAAAACTCCAATAATGACCACACAATTTTTTTTAAGTTGACAACTTTTAATTGGCCAGAAAGAGGACTCTCCACAGCTTCTAGAACACTTATGCAAAATTTTTTTTGAGAAATAAAAATTTTAACTCGAAATTTTATAATCACAAATTTTACCCTCAGGCTAAGCAAAAAAAAATTTTTTTTGCTCCATACATATCCAATAAGGCAAAAAGTATAAAATTTTTTTATTTATTTTTAATTTTGTCAAATATGATTAGATTTCTGTTATTTACCTATCCTCTAATGTCAGTAGTGAGTGAGAAAACATTTAGCAGAAACAGTATTGATTACTGTGTAAGGAATTATAAGAATATTACTGTAATGGAAAGGTTCTATTGTCATGAAACACATATTAAAAGTTGAAAATTAGAAAAATTAGAGTTAATAAAAATCAAAGTTACGAAGAATATAGGTATTATAAATAAAACCTTTACATTTTATTTAATATTGTAGATTCATACAAATATTATTTGCGTCAAAACGTTATCGCATAACTGAACGGTGTATAATATTTTTTTTATTTACATACATATGCATTTATGTCAATATGTATATTTATATATGACAAACTTACAAGATTCTAAAAAGCCAAGAAAATTACGCTTTTGTGCATTACCAAAAAGGTATTTTCTTGCTGCTCAAAAACTAAAACTTTTATTCATGTATGCTTATAGCAGGAACAAAAAAACGCTAATATTTACTTTTCAATTCAATTCATAATTTAACAAATGCGTCATTTTCTTATTTTAATGGTTTACATTTGTACATGATATTAATTTTTTTCAAATCTCCTTCCGATGGACCAACTATCTGCCCCATTTTACGATCTGTTACCGAATTGCCACTTCTTGCGCGCATTGATGGTTTCGTAGGATCCTTTGAGAAAGCAAACTCCGAATAATGCATCAGACTTTCATAGTCGTACAATACATTGTAGGTATTGGTGTATATTTCGGGGTAGGCGATAAACTGCGACCAATACTTTTGAGGAATATTGGAATACTCAATTTTTACATATTTATTGCGATCTGAACGACTCTGTTCGTGGTAGAGACCAAGAGCATGCAAAGTTTCATGTTGTATAACACCACGTTCACTTAAACAGTAGGGATTTAGGATCACATCGTGAGGTCCTGTTGGTGTTAAAGGGTTAAAACCAACTCTTGTACCACACAAGTCCGAAGATTTTTTATAGTTAATGTACTTTAACATTCCATCTTGCCGTACATCATACTCTCTAAATTTCAGGCATGTACTTTCATTAAATACCAATAATGCCGCGTGAACATTATCAACTTCATCCTTGCTGTAATCAGTGGAGATTGTGTAGTATAGCAAGTTGCTTGGCCAGCGTTGTAACGGCGAATTCACAGCGTTACGCGTCTTATCTTCAGCCGCTTCGTCATCAACATGGATTTCATTTAAGTAATTTTCAAAATCTTCAATGTTGAATTTTCCAGCAGTGTTTGGTTTCGCAGAAGTTAATTGCACAACTAGTAACATAATATGGCAGCTAACCAAAACATAAACACTATTTCGATTCATGATAGTGAATTGGATATAGTACTGAACACACTTTACAATTAGATTTTCTTTTATATACCTACATTGTCAACATATACGTGCAATATGTGCAATTTATTTACATATCGCAAAGCCTATTTAATATGCTAATAGCCAAAGATAGATCGCTACGTTACCTGCAGTTTTGTAAAAGACGACACCATTGCAAATTATGCAAAAGAAATTGCTGCATACAATTTGTGTTTGTATTACTGTTTTTGGTTTATATGAGATTATGATTTCCTTTGCTGTAGGTTAATGTATTCGAACAAATTCAGAGATAAACTCATATAAATTGACGATGCAACTATACATTGAAAATAGCGGTTTGCAAATTATGAAGTTTATTTTGTTATACTTATTTGCCTAGTCGTTTGATTTCTCTTCTTTCTATGAATATATTTATATGAATGTAGTATATACTTAATCCTAGACACAAAATTGATTAAGTAATCCATAAGAGTTTTACAATTTTGCCTTTTCGACATTATTTTTGGTCAAACACTTTCGTATAAAACTTAATATGTTTATCAATGCCCTTAGTTTGTCACTTGCACAGACTTTTTCTGTTTGTCATTAAATGATCCTACAATATTTTATTCCGTGGCAATGATTTAAAAACAATTTAACATTGAACCCGCTCAAGTCTATTGTATTTTGTTACATTATATTTATCAGTGCAAATATTAAAGAAAACGAAAATAAACATGAACGTTAGTATAATTAACTTAAATGTTTCCTTATATGTGACTCGATAAGCAATATACACGTAAAATATTATTGAATCAAATATGAAAAAAACGATCACAAATTATTCATAACCGCGATCATTTGTCACATGGTTAATAGTCATCCACACTGTAAGCGTTCTATGTACCATTATTCATCGCGGTTTTGACGCACTACAGCAATTAATGAATTTCAATAAATGTGTAAAGCGATGGAGGCACAATGTTTGTATATTTAATTCGATGTTTCTGTATCGTTCGTGCGGCCAAACAAGCTAGTGTGGTATATTTCAATGGATTAACGACTTCATGTATTTTTCGGGGTTTCAACAATGATTCGAAGGTTTCACCGGCATCATTTTTGGCATCCTATATTAAACAATATTATTAGCACACTTCAAAAATAAATAGTTTAAACTTACCAAATGTGCACCATGTTTTAAAAGAACTTTTGAAAGCGAACGTGGACATTGTTGCGCTGTTGCAGCTAAATGCAAAGGAGAGTTGCCTGCATCATCCCTAGCATTTGGATCAGCTCCAACTTCAAGTAGAGCTTTAGCTAATGCTGGCGAAGGAAACTGACAAGCTGGATAACGACCGACAAGTGTACCTTCTCGGTAACAAGCGTAGTGTAAAGCTGTTCGGCCTGATCGAACAGACACTTTAAGCCGATTCAACTTGTACAAAGAATATAAAATTTGTTTGCGCATATTTGGACAGAAACTTTCATCTTCTTCAAGTGAAGCCAATAAACAACCAATATGTAAAGCGCTTACTAAGGCGCGGCTCAACGCGTTCGGATCGTGATTACAATCATGTATTGATGGTACTGCAATAGGAGTTTTTTCCTGTTCTATAGTCCATTTAAGGCCTACAAAGGCAAAACTAACTGTGTTTCACCCAAAACATGACGAATGTATTAAACTTGCTTATATTACCTCGCTCCACTTCTAGAACAGCCTTATTAAATATCAGCAACATGTCTCTGGCTTCAATTGGAGGAACAATTCGACCGCGTGGCAACAAACGACCTGCTTCAACAAGCATAAAACTAAACAGTTCCGCAAATGATAACAAAGATGATTGGGTCATTGGGCTGAGAGGTTGTAAAATTTTCTGCTGCATCGTCAAAGCATACGTCCATAACTCAATACAACGATCGAAACGTCCAGCATCTGCATAATGCGCTCCTCTAAAAAAAAAAAAAAAAAAAGAACTGAATAATCTGCTTTTAAGTGGTCGTTTGTAGTTACCTGAAACGTATGTAGTAGCTTGTATCAGGATGCGTAGGGCCTAAAATACGCTGTCGTATAACTAAAGCTTGCATTCGCATTTCATCGGGATCTAGCACTAACTCTTCGAGTCCTTCTATTGTTTTCACTTCCGATACATATTCGTATGCAGCAATTGGCTCGCTAATAGTTTTTGGTATTTTAGGTTCTTGATTTCGATCCTCCATTGCCCTTCGCCACAAGGACAAAGCGCTGATCATATCACGTTTTTTGTCTACATAAGTAGCACCCAATAGTTCTAAAGCATCGATGCGACTTTTTCTACTAACGCAGGCCAAGGTAATAAGATGTTCTACAATTGGTAAATGCCCCGTCACGCTCGCAGCCAAAAGCGGCGTCATACCGTAATAATCGACATCCATTGTTGCGCCATGCTTTAACAACAATTGCAAAATCTCCAATGAACCAGATTCTGCACAATCATGCAAAGCTGTATTTCCTTTTATACTACACCGATTCACATCTGCGTTTAATGTTAATAGATACTGAGCGATCTTATAATGACCTTTGTAGCATGCGATCATTAAGCATGTATGTCCATGACGATTTGCCACTTCAAAATCTAAAACAAATATTTGGAACAACTTTAAATAATTTGTATTAAGCATTTAAGCATTGACATATAGCACACCTGCACCATTGGTCACCAGAAACTTGACAATATCAAAATGTCCATCAAAACAAGCAGCGCGGAGTGGTGTAGAGTTAGTGCGGGTTGTACTATTTACGTTTGCCCCATGATGAACAAGAAGCTTCACAATACCATAATGACCAGCTGCTGCGGCGCACCATAACGGTGGCGCATCCTCAATGGGTTCACCATCAAAACTTACAGAACCTACTTGCTCAACATTGGCGTGTCGTTTTAGCAAATACTCCACAATGTTATAGTGACCATTTCGGCAGGCAATTACTAATGGTGTAGCTCCGTTAACTCTCGCTGATATAAGCATTTTTGTTTCTGACTCTGATCTGTTGGAGAGGGTATGCTGTAAATAGATTATTTCAATTATTGACAATTTTTATTTTATATATACATACATACATGAAAAATACGATCATAATTAATATAGTGAACAATTTAAATTAAAATGCGACAGATGCACATCCAAAACTTTGCTATTAAAATATTTAAAATGGTAGTCAAACACCAGTTGGGGCATATTCAAAATATAATAGTGGGCTATGCCCAGAATTCCTCAGAAATATATCCAATTGCTACAATACAGTGCTAGTGGGGTTGTCATCCTATCCAGCTATTGTCGTAAATCAGTTGCAGTCAATTTCGAAACAATTATTCACGCATGTTCTGTAATTCACTTTCACTATTTAATTCCACTTTTTTTACAAAATGAATTCCGAGTGGAAAAGAGAGTCAATTGCGTGAATTTGATGCGCGCAAACATGTAAGTAAATTTAAGTGCTAAAATTATGTGGAAAAAATATTTAAAATAGTATATTTTGATAATATATGTAAGTTAATTATTAAACGGGAAAACATAAGAATCAGTGTGTTTTTTTTCGACATGTTGCTTTCAAGATGAAATAAAACGTATATAATTTAATGTTATAGCCAAGAATTCCGCTTTATTATTTAGATAAAGGTTTTCCATTATGTTTTAAAAATGATTTCGTGCAAGTGACCGCCGCGGCTGGCTTGAATAAATTCAAGCCGAGAGGTCCAATTTTCGAACACTTTTTGCAGCGATTCGGGTGATAATCATTCGTTTTCTTTCCTTGCACGAATTGCATTTTTTAAGTACGCAAACCAAGATCTTTGTGCAAAATCGACCATTAAGTGAATGGGCAGAGCTCCAATTGTTGCGCGCGGATGGCGGATGCACTCATTCCGGTCTTCTTAGACACTCTACTCCACAGTACCAATAGCGTTTTCGGTGCGCACTGTGCGGCGTCTCTGAGGATGCATATTCTCCACTAGAGTAAACGAAGTGACAAACCGTTCAAGGGTTGCTTCAATTACCGACCGACTCTGCTGGACGCTTATGTCGACCGAATGTTCGACGTCGCGCGAACCGAACCATTATTTTGGTAACAAATTTGAACGATTTTCAAACGTTGTTTCTGAGTAAATTTGTTGTTCATTATAAAATAGCAAACCAAACTAAGTATAAATCAAGTAACAGCTGTTAAAAAGATCAATTCTGAAAACAGTATTGAATCATTGAAAAATAAATGTCTGAAACAACGCCCGTTACATAGTCCAACAGAAAAATATATTTCTATATAAACCCTTTAACAGAAAGAAAAAATTAAACATATTAACAGCTTGAATAACATATTGAGCTTATGAAAAAAATGACAAAAATGGACGAGGCTAGACGACATTTCCAAGCAATAATAATAAAACTAAGTGATCGTGTGGTAAGTGAATTATTCAAATGCAATACACTTCCGTCGTCGTTGTATAAAAAAAAGGAATGAATGTTTATTCAATCTGCGGGAATAAAACAGAAATTGTATTGGTTTAATTTTTCATATCAAATTTATCATTATTTTAATTATCTGCAAAAGTGTCATTGCTTTGGTTGGGGACATTATTAAAAATTCGTCTGAAATTAGTTATCATTCGTCGTGTTAAAGAGATAAGTTTTTTTTTTTACGTTGAGTTGCTTTAATTGCAATTCAACTGAGTCGAGTTGTAAGCCGTATGCGTGGTATACATTGCTAATGCTTTCTCCATATTACACATACAACACATACACATACATCCATAGATCGAGTGCTTAGACTTCAGCTGTCACCAATTACAAGCTTATTATTGATTCAAATTTTGTTAAAGCAAATTTGTTAATAAACTTTTGACGTTGACTGTGTTTATCTCGTCATGTATTCGAATCAATGATGCATACATGCAAACTATTTATTAATGACGACTTCGTTTTAGCGCACTAAGTGCACATAACATATGCATATTATATGTATGTATGTATATGCATAAATTTATATTTATATGCATTCGATTAACAAAGCTACTTGAGGAACTGGTGTTTATTTTGTGTTGATATCGAACTCGTAATGCATTGACATTGCGAATTCAATGTCAAAACAAAAATAGCTTACTCATAGAAACCAAAGAAAGTTCCCACATTATGCACACGGAAGTGATCATGAATTAAGGTACACTGTCAGAGATTTTGTAAATACGAAATTTTAGTCGCGTTCACGATGTGATGTATTTGACATCATATTTTGTATACAAGAGATTTTCCATATTTTTTTGTAAAACTACGAAACTTAATTATTTGAGATAAAATAAACTAGGGATACGCAAAACATATTGTACTGTTGCGTAATATTTGTTTTACACCATCACCGCACATTTCTAATCTATCTTTCTCATTATTGAAAATTAAAAATTGTCACTATAATCGCTCACAATTTAGAGCGTTTGTAAGAAAAATTTATCACAATACAATGTACATACATATGTATACTAGGTGGGAGAAGATATGGACAGATTTCATCAATTCTTATCACCAAAACATATTATGTCCAAAGCAACTTGTACAGGTATAAGGTCAAGCCGAAGTTATAAAATCATTATAGTAATATTAGGTATACGGGAGCTAGGGAAAGCACGGCTTTTCCATGGACTAGTTTATTTTCTCCATATAAGTATGAGAATAAAAATAGATAAATAGAACAAAATTAGAATGTTTTCCATATTATTAAATAGTATCATCAAGCATTTCCTATCAACTAGTCAGTCGATTACAAATCGTATACTGATTTCGATCGTTCAAACGTGAATAACGAGCTGGTGTAGACATAAGGTGATGAATTATTTCGGACCAATATAGGATATAACTGTTAAACATATTGATCGATCAAAACCAAATTCTTGTATGGAAAACTTTTTATATGAAAAGATATTTTGGTTTTTGATACAATCTCCGAACATATTGTTCAGATCGTACTACTACAGCATATACAGTTGTCCACAAAAAAAAAAAAGTCACATCATTAACAAAACGAATCTTTCAATTTTTAATTAAAAAAAAACATGTTTTAAGAGGTTAGGGGTAGTCAGAATTTTTTTGCATTTTCGTTAAGTGTAATATCTAAAAAGTATTCTCGGAAAATTTCAAGTTGATCCGATAATTACTTTTTTAGTTATTCGACAAATAACAAAGCGCGCTCGGGCACTTCATAGCGCTCGGGAACAGGTAGGTGAAACTTTAAATGCGTTTTTCTCAAAACTATGTTTTTTGAACTGGTGACAACTGTAACTCGAAAACCGCTTAGTAGATTTTAATGAAATTTATATAGGTTTTAGAATACATAATAAACTCGGGCCTGATCGAAGGATTTTTTTTATCAAATATTTCGACTTTTTAAGACCAAATTGATTTTTTACCAAAAATGTAGAAAAAAAATTTCCTAAGGCCATTGTAAATTAAAAAAAAAAACCACAAAAAAGCTTCGATCAAGCCCAGGATTATCTATTTATAAAACAAATTTTTTTATCCGATTGATTTTAGATGAATCTCCAAGGACTTATGATTGTCACCGCAAGGACCTTTTTTTGGAACTGGGTTATTGTTGTTGTTGTAACGGTTATCTTGGAAATGGGTCAACACAGACAGCTATAACTTTGGAAACTAAAATTTTTGTTTTTGAAATTTTCTTGACTTCAAGTCAAAACATTGTATAAAAAAGCCATATTACTACTTTTGTAAAATAACATGATTTAATAGCAAAAAAAAATGCTGAAAATTCTCATTTTTTCGTGCCTCTGACTACCCCTAACCCCTTAAGTCTCAAACCTTTTACGCATGACATTCACTGATGATATATTAATATTTCCATAGTTCATATGTTTCAATTAAACGAAAGAAAATTTGATATCACAATTTATGTTAAATAAATTAAAAATTGGTTCCACAAAAAATAGAAGTATTCTATGTGGTATTTTTAAAGTTTTAAATTAAAATGATTTCAAACCTTTTATTACAATAATTCATATTTCTTTGAATGGCTTTGGTTTTTTAATAGACTTCCTGGAAATAGAATCCGGGCTACAAAAGCGCCTTCTTCCCATATAACACAATATTAAATTCCATCAAATTCTTTCACTGTATATAATTTATGCTATAAAGATATTGGAAAAACTTTGAAAAATGGTCGAAAACGGATTTTTTCTGAAAACAGTAGTGCTCTTTCTAAAATTTTAATTTTTGAAGAGACTTAAAACATAACCATAAATCAGCATTTGGTTACACATCTGCTGCAGAACTGACTTTGCTTATTGTTTCCAAATAATTTGCTCTCAATTTCGCGTTACTTAGATGCTTGTGTCATTGTCCGTTTGCTTTTCGAAAATATGTTCTATGTGTGATATAATTAAAAAGAAGGTTTTCTTCGGGGTCTTGCAAACTTTGTGGCAAAATTAATATACATTGTTATTACACCGAAACTCCATAAAAGTTAATATAACTAAAATCTAATTACTATTATATTTATTCATTTCCATATTTATATGAATACAAAGCCCGAATTTTGAGTACTAATGCACGTCATGATGAAATTGAGTCTCAACAAAATGCCGACACCGTTTCAATGTATTAGCTCTTATGGATCATATGCATTTGAGCCATTGCTTCTTTATTTTGATTTACTTGCGTATACTGAGAACGAGAAAAGAACACGCAAATTTGACAGCCAGGGCATAAGGCAGAATATATAATACAATTTTGTGAGAAAAGAAAACGCTATTAGTAAAGAGCGTGGTATAATAAAAATTAAAGAGTAACAACTATGTTGAACAATGAAGAATTTACCCCGACCGCGAAATAATTGCTTAAACGAAATATCTTTATACCCTGAACAGCGTATATTAAGTTTGCCACGATGTTTGTAACACCCAGAAGGAAAGGTCAGAAACCCTATATGGGCACATACAAACTTTCCGATTAAAATCAAGTTCTTCTAAGGAATATTTTGTATTTATGAAGGGTATTAAAGCTTCAGTTCAACCGAAGTTAACGTGTCTTTTTTTTTTTGTTTTATTTACATTTTGAGGGTTACAAAATGGTCCGTAAATATTATTTAAATAATATGAAACGATGACGAAATGAAAGAGAGACGAAACGAAACACAAAATTTTAACAACTAAAGTTATTGACCATGAGTTCATTGCTTTCAATAGTAGATTCGTTCAATATTCAAACTGACAGTAGTTGTTGTTTTTTTAACAGTTACTTGTCCTTCCTCATTCACGTACTTCACAAAAACTCACATTTATTCATGTATGCATCTACATATATTCATGAAGAATTGGAGTCAAAGTAAACTAGATACGAAAACACATGCTGACCTTTTGCAAATGGAAACACATACAGAATCTCTTAAAAAATATCAGTTACGGAAAAACTAACGAAGAAGAAAAATATTGTTATATACTAATAAAGATGTTTTATAACCTATCAGATGCTGCTAAACGGTCAGATTTACTATTTTGCTTCACATTGTTTACATAAGTTCCAGTAATCGCTAGTTTCCTTGTCCTTCTAAGAACTGGTTTCACCAATAAAAAAATTATAATAATATAATCGAAGTTAGTTTCATATAAAAAAAAAACATATGTACACTTGCTCAGCTTTGTTCAAAATAACGAAAGTGCAAACGAGAAGGCAAATAGCTAAATTTTGTAATAAAGATCTGAATTTATTCAGAATAATAAGTCGATACATTAGTTGCCTTTTAAGATTTTGTTTAGCAAACAAAAATAAAAAATATATTAAACAACAAAATTATACAGTTAACATTTTAATTGCTTTTTGACCGGTGCATGGTCTTGATGAGATAAAACATTTTTGATGGTACACCACATACTTTCAAAAGAGCCTGTAACGCTATATAATGGGCCCGGCTCATCTGGATGACCATAGATTGGGCTCTAGAGTAAAATGATGCATCTATGTTTCATAAAGAGCCTCATATCGATACAAAAATTAGGGGTTATTACTATTGAATAGCTTCAAGCACTTGTCACACAGAAATTCATGTACCCGCTTTGCAAAGAGCTTTGCTTGAATATTTTTAGGGTGTCGGCTATATAAATCAAAATCATTTTTTAAACTTTTTCTTTTTTCGTTCGTAGCAGTCTCTTCTACCTCTTCATCGTTTTCTATGCGGAATATAGCAAACCAAATACAAGTGGTTTGCTTCGCCGGGCATATAGCACAGATAACATTAACTAACCACGCTACTTAGTTAGATTTATGATGCTTCGAGTACCGAGGATCCGTTATATGAATAAATTTGGAGGTTTCAAATTAATACGTTTATCACACCATACAAATGAAAAAGTAATTTATTATGAAATGTATAAATCGATAAACCATTAAATTATTCAATTACATATATAAGGTAAGTGACATAAGCAAAATGTAACAAAATAAGGGATTTGATACCCTATCCTAAATATAAGACAGATGAAACCATATCAAACATTGTTATATCGCCGAAAAAAATTGCCTCTAAAACCATACATTAACATTATTGATCGTTTAGTAGATTAAACTCCTTCTTATCCAGACTTCATCATGGCATGGCATTTCCTACATACAAAGTATCCCCGCACGACTCTACCCACATCTTTACTCACTCAAGACTGCAAGGCGTGTTCTAACAGATTGCTTGCAACCGCGTAGAAACTACGATTTCATCTCCCTTTAGATGTTTTGCAGCCAAGAGGTGCATTCAGCTGAATTCATATTGATGATGAAACTGAGTGAGAGTATCAACTAAACATCATCATGCTGACAGCAGTTTACTATGACTATGTAAAAAAACGAGGAACTTAAAAGAAGAATGAAGGTTTGTTTTCGGTACCTAGTTTGTGACACAAGTTTTGATGATTTATTTATAAATAATATCTTGCATTGACTTACCTTCAACTGCGATAAGTTGTTGTCTCGAGCCGCATTATAAACAACAAATTTACAATCCATAGCCAAGGCAGAACTTCGACATAAAATTATTTTTTCTTGCAAATCAATATCACAATTTTTATTTTATTTTATTTTATTGTTGTTGTTTTTGCGACAGCCAAACAGAAAAACAACCCGTAGGCCACACAAACAGGAAGACAGTTCTTTCTTTAGCACTTCTTGTGTTTGCCTTATTCACCGATTTTTACTTCTATTATTTCTTGTTATATTATTTTGGCACTTTTACGCGTTAAAATTTACTTCTTTGTTCTCGAATGAAAAACTTAGCCAGAAATAGAATAAGTGACACTAAAAATTCGGTTGATACATTTGGTTCTCTTCAGCATGCTTTAACGAATGAATACCAAAGCAAAATGCGTAAAAAAAATTCCACGGATGAGCCAGAGAACATACAAGAATTTTTTGTTTAAGATTCTCTGGATGAACTAGGCTTAAACATCGAACATCAACAACAAACAATCTTATTGGATACCAAAATTTTAAGCAATAATTAATAAAAAACGCGTGTCCAAAAAAACTCGATGAAACTGGGTCCAATATCAAATAAAATATTTATTATTGTTGTTGTACTGGGCATCCACAAGCCAAAAAATAGTTCGATATATATTTTCTCTGCTTTTTTTAACTCAACATCAACAATACTAAAAAACACGTTCGAACTCGACGTACAGCAAAATTCGACTATATTTTGCTTCCGGACAGGGCTGCCGTTTCAATAGCTTAATCTAATTTATATTTCGTATAATATGGCAGCACCAGATACCACCATGCCATTTTCGAAGATTAAAACAAGGCATCCCTAAGTTACCTTGCCATATTGGATGCTTAGGAACATTCAAAAGCATACTAAAATAGATCAACTTATCCTGCTAACTGCCGTCCCTAAATAAAAGAGGCATCAGCAAATTATGTTGGAAAACGTAGATCGAATCAGCTGGTACGGTCTATCTATGAGAGCGCAATGTAAATAAGCACCCACCACCACGGATATTTGCGAAAATTGGATTTTTCCCATAGAAGCGAGTCAACTGATTACTCTCTTACAACACAGGGTTATTGTCTCGATTTTTTGTAGTAATTAAAAAATAAACTTGAATATATTAAAATATTCTTAAACTAACTCAAAATCGCAGTTAATACATTTATTTATAAAGAGATAAACTTTTTATTAACAGTTCGATTTTAGTTTAGAGCTTATCCATTATGAAAAATTAAAACTAAAAAACAAAATGGGTGAAAAATCGTGTATACAAATTGAACAATGGCAACATTAGTCAAATGAAAACAAAAGAGAACACCTGATTTCTACGTTGCCACTACGGGCATAACTTTTGGAATATTTGTATTGATACGGTCAGAAAGTACGAAAGAGCGGAATGTCGGAGACAGTTTCCAGCACTTGGTGGAGGGCAGTGTAACGAACATGAATGATATACAAAATCGAACGGACGATAAATTCGCAGAATCAACTAGACAGCGAATTCGTAGTTGCCAGAAAGTTCTCGTGGCGAAGTTTTGTAAAATCTACTATATAAGGGCTGCTGGATTTTGCAGCAGGGATAGGTCTAAGTAGGAAATTGTGAATTCGAATAATGAGTAGTAAAGCGTTAAACTGTTTGAATTAGAAGTAAAAATATGATAAATTGGGTCTTTTATTTAACAATCCAGTGTTCGAACTCAAGAGTGAGAAACGAGATAGACGATTTATCAAGAAATCCGCTACAATACTTTATGATTGGATTGAAAATGTGATTCTATAATATAAACAAGGATATAAGATTATGTCGTTAGCACAAAAAAAAAAAACAATTTTAAATTAATGCTTATACCCCAAATATGTATTATTCTTAAAGTAATCTAATATCATTCTCGGACGTTATTACATATTTTATGTTGAATCTCGTTTACAAAAAGCGGCAAAGGGCACCTATTGTCTAAACATTTTGAAAAAAATGGGAGTAGAGCCACGCCTACTTCCCTACCTTCTACTAACACAATTTTAAATTATCAAAAATGGTTTGAAATGAGTCTATATTTCCCTAAGCCCTCAACTTCCAGTTGACTTCATACCACCAATGTGCTAGTTGATTTAATGAAATTTAGAAAGCTTATTTTTCTAATAACAGTTATCTTTGTGCCTAAAATTAATAAAATCAAGCGAAAATTTGTCTTAGCCCCCATAAAACTCTTATTCTGAACTTGGAAACATCCGGCAGACTTTACCTCATATATATGTTTATATTTACATACACACCATATTTATAAAATTGCTTGAAAATATGTTGTCAAGTATACCTGAACAATGTCAAAAATCAATGCAATCAGCCCTTCTTTTCTCTGCCACCAATATACCTTTAAACCATTTAGGTTGGTCAAAAAGTGATAAATGAAATTTAGTGTACACGTTTTCTTAAAAGTTATAAAATTATATTAATGATTTGGCGCTCAACACAAATGAAATTGGTCTTGGTCTAAACCTCATATCCCTAATAAATATCCCGAACGTAACCCTTCCTTACTTGTTTAATTTAAAATTAATTTTCTGTTATTAAGAGATATACACTAAATACCTGATTTTCTTTATCAACTGTGAATGTGTGTTTCTTCTGCCCATTTTACTTTTGAATGCTGAGCTGTGTTATATTATATTACATATATTTACATTCATATGTACATCATACGCATACAATTTATGTAGATTTGAAGTTTAAAATGTAGCCCAAGAAAGAGAGAAAACATAATTATTTAATATATTAAACACTTTGTTTACAAGAATTAAATTAAAATAATTAATAGAATGGGGAAGAGGATACTTAAAAGTTTTATTATAAAACACCACTAGCTAGCAAAGTTTCTTAACCCAAAAATCTAACAGAAACTGGCAGAAGAGAGTGTAAAAAGCCGAGAGAGCTGCTAGTTTCTGCTAATGAAATAAACTAGCGGGATTTGACAAATTTGCTTTGATTTTGTTTATTTTCATGGTTTCGAATTGTGAAAATAAAAATTCTATTGATTAGTTTCCAAGTGTGGATATGATGTAATTATTATAAACATTTTAATATTTTCTTGTTAAGTTCTGGTAGTTTTCCGTTTCTTTACTTTTACGTTATTTCGCTCTTTGTGAGAGTATCTTCTTAATTCGCTCAGTGTTGTTCGTCCTGACTAGCAGCAATTGCAATTAAGAAACAAAATAAATGGGTAATTAACCAGATTTAAAGATAATCCCTGATTCTCGCGTATTTATACAGACTGCGGGTTGTCATGCGAGTATGAAAGGCATGCTTATATATGTACATAGTATAGTATAACATTTTGAAAAACTTAATGCTTATATTATGAATGAAAATTAATAATATCATTGAGACCAAAGTACGTTTTACATATGTATGTATGTATATTTGAAAGTAATTTTCACAATTCCTTGTAACATAATATTTTTACTTACCCGTTAATATAAATTTCTTGATTTCCAATAGTTGTAACGTGTATAAATTTTTATTGTTTTTAAAGTCTTCTAACCACATGTGAATTGATGTATGTTCTTGAAGAACGTAACGGTAATATCTTTTGAGTTTATGTGTTTTAGATCTCCTGCTGTATGTATGTGCATTCATATGACAATAAATATGTATGCGTTTTTATTACAATTGTTTAGTTTATTATTATATATAGTAAATACAACACCATATTACATGTTGGTGTGTAAAGTTATTTATGTGAATTGCGTTTAACGCCAACTCATTCCCACAATATCGTTAATAAGCTCGCATGAAATAGTTTAATCATAATAGGGAGTACAATAATAGATTTATTAATAATCCATATGTATATATAATATTTTTAATAGTTTAATTATGCAGTAATAATTTCTTATTAAAAACTAATCTTTTTAGGTATTATCTAAAACGAATCAACAAACTTATATTAAAAAAAAACTAGCTTATTTTATATGTTTTCGTTTACATATATAATATATTTGTATGTCACATACATATGTATGTATGTAAATACGTTTGTAGGTATGCATGTACTTAATATGGTCTTACTTAAGGATAAATCCAATCGTACGCTGCTCAAAGAATTTCTTTAAACCGTTTAAACTCTTAATTATCATGAATTTAAATCACAAATTCTAATAAATTCACAAAAATTAAATATCACAAGTTATTTTTTTGATTATTGTTTGGTCATGAATATTCAAGCTAGAAGCTACAACATTAAATCTTAATGCAATTGAAATATGCATATAATCACTTATTATGTTATTATACACATATATGTAAAACTACAGATAAAGTACATGGATGTAGATACGTATGTATATGTTTACAATATAAACAAATACACGTACATATGAATTCTGCAGCATTTGTTTTTAATTTTGGTGGAATGTGCGCTTAATATATAAACCCATTGAAGTTTGTACTACTGATTGACCGAAGCATTAAAAATCTTTCATAAAATTCTTTGGTATACTAAGAATTGAAAAAAAAACATATTTTTTAAGTTTTGGAAAATAAAAATGTATATTCGCAAAATTCGAAACGGTATATTGATATGTAATAGCACACACATGGTACATATACATTGATCTACAAGTATACTGATGGTGAATTTTGATGGCAATAATATTTGGAAGTCATAACAACAAATCAACTTTTTGGTGTTGTGTTAGTTTATATTAACTTTATGGAAGACATTTCTAAAATTCAAAGATTTTCGCAAATATTTTATGTAAATTAATTTAAAACAATTCAGTATTCGAGAATCATGGGACTACAAATTTTTGACCGAATATAAATCTCCCAAAAACTTAAACCAATACAAATTTCCCATTAATAAAGGCATTTAACGATATTAATATACGAAGTTATTATTTTAATATGTATTCAACAGGAAACGTTGTTGTAAGTAGGTACGTATTGCTCAATTGAAGTCGTTTGTTTAAAATTTTGAGCATAACTGTTTTAGTCCTTATCAGACGACACGAGAATATCAATTTAGTAAGTTTAGGGGTAATGGCGTATTGTACACGCATAATGCATTTCAAAAAGATTTATATTTTGTAAAAAAGAAAATATAAAGGTATATACATATATACATACATGTATACATTTAAATATAGTAGACATGTATGCAGATATCGTTTGGATTTAATAAATCTGGTCATATAAATATTTAGATATGTATAAGTTATACGAATTTTTTAATACTTGCAAATTTTTTAAATTGATACATGCATATATACCGTATGTATTATTATATATATGAAAATTATTTCATTAGACCGCGCTGTATTACTTATTTCTGAAAGACATTGCTTATGAAATAATTTTTGACTCTCTTGGCAAATTTATTGTATTTACCAGTATATATCTTTGACATACATAATATTATATAATTATCATACATATGTATGTATGTAAATACGTTTGTAGGTATTCATTTATATAATATTATAATATTTGGTTACATTGAGTTTAAAAGTTTAATATACGCATAAATTATTTCACAAAAAAGTAACATATTTACACAAGATACTCATTCTCGATATATGTATGCATATGTTCATGGCGAGAATACCCGTAAACTTCGGAGTAAAGTTGCTAACACATTGGCTAAACATTCAGCTTGTAACGCAAGTTGTCCAGCGCCTAATGGACCGATTTGCACCCCTACTAATTCCCTGAAACTGGATCCCACATCATGAACTTTAAGCACAATGTTTCGAGTTTGTAATGGTGACGAGGTATGGAGCGTCATATCTTGTGTGAGCTCAGTAATACGACGAATCGCTGTGAGACAGGAAGTGAGATGTTCTGGCAGAGTCGATAAAGTCATATCCGACATTGCTACTACTAAAAATTTAGACGCAGTCACTAGCATCAATGTTTGTTCAGTTAGCTCATTCCGGGCTCGCTGAAATTTATCCTCGTCAATATTGGAGCCCCCGCCTGCGAGTTGCGCTGCTGAACACTTGGCGGCTACCTGATCAAGTTTCACCAAGAGTCCTGCCATTGCTATGTCGGTTTTGGTCAACAATGCTTCGCTGTCAATAACATGCCCATTCTTTATAATATATTTTTCCCCAAATTTTTGTGATAAAACAGATTTTAGTGGTATGGACACTGAACCAGGACTTTCAATTTTTTGTGACATTTGGGGAGAACTGAATGAAGAGAGAGGAGGAAGTTTATCGATTGGTGAATTCTTAATATAAGTCTGGGGGTAATAATTTTTCAATAGATGATTCTCATTCGATGTAAGAGTAATAGGGTGATTTTCATGTTGTATGTTGCAGGCATAATTAGAGCTGGGGTTAGGATGAGATACCGGGAAAACGCATGAAGGCATCATTGGTGAAACAGGTGAAAAGCTTTTACTGCTTAAATCTTTCACATTTACTGATATATTTCGCTGAGTGGAACGGTTGGTTATTGGCGGCAAAGGTGGTTTTAGTGGAGCTTCACTCACCGATGGAGTGGAAGTATTTTCCTCGGAAAGGTTGAAATTTTTAATTCTTGGTGGTAATAATGGTGGTCGCTCATCGTGGGCTTCTTGTTCTTGTTTTTTACCCTTTTCATTGTGATTTTTTAAGCCAGTAGCTGTGCCTTGTGGTTTTTTTGGAGAATAACGTTGAATCAATTCTACACTTTTAGGCGGTCGCTCTGGAGGAGTTGGTTTGTCAATGGATTGTAAACGTGGTGGCACCTCAAGACCGATTTTGATTGATTCTGAAATATTTTCAGCATTACCTTTTAAAGATTTTGGACAACAAGAAAACTTTCCCTTGCGTTCGACTGTGGAGTACTCGATCACATGTTCCCCTTCACGTCTACTTAACTTGTTGAATTGGTTTCGGTTTGGAGGCGATTTTCCAGAAATCGAATCGTCAGATTTATTAAAGTACTCTCGTGTTTCTGCAATGGAATTGCTGTATAGATTTTCTGTTTGTTCCTTTGAATTATTTTTATTCTCTTCTGGATCAGGTGGTGGAGGAATAATAAATGACATTATTTCCTCTGGCGTTAGTTCTTTTGCTGGAGTTGTCCTTTGTGTCGGCGGTGCCACAATTATGTTTGCTAGGAATGTATCCAGATCACTTTCAGCATTAGTATTTGAAATATTCTTCGACCCATCACCAAAACCCTGTGGAGCAGCATTCAGTAGGGATATTGCGTCTAGTTCATCAGGAGTGCGTGGAGGTGGTATTGAACGCAAATCAATTAAATCAGTATCAGTTGCAATAAATGTGTCACCATGAATTTCAAAACCATAAATTTCAGAAAGTTTTCTTGCAGCTACATCGGTATCCTGACTTCCATCATGCACATTGCTTATTTCTTTAAGTTGTTTTAAGTATTCTTTTAAATTATAGTCCCGATTATCTGAACCAAAATTATTGCCATCGGGACTATGAAGTCCAAAACTGCTACGATAAGCCAAATTCTGTTTATGGTTATTGTCATTAGAACATAGAATTAGTGGTCGGCGAGCTACGGGAGAGCTCGTTGGAGAATTAACTGATTCAGAATCGCTTTCACTTTGAGAAAAATCTGCGCTCGTTTGCAGATTGGACAGTATTTGTCCAATGTTGTTAAATTTTCTATCTGGCTGCGGACTACACGTCGTACTAATATTAGAAATGGTTATCGACAAATCTGACGGTTTCCTCCCGATAGAATTCAAACTCTGTGTTATGCCATTTAAATCTTGGTTTATGGCTTCTGCTAAAAGAACTAAGGAATCACTATGCTTAAGCGCTCCTAGTTGAGGGGCATCCTCCGTTGAGGATATCTTGCTGCTGTTCAGACTTTCGCAGTCACTATCGAACTCCAGCGAATTGCCTATTTTATTTAGATTTTGTTCCTTATTTATAGATTCATTCTGCCATGTATTTAAATTACTATTAAATTTGATATTAGTATCATACGAAAGCTCATCAGACTCAGGAACCATCTCCCCCTGCTCATTTAAATATTGTTCGGAGTTTTCCACCATTTTTTGCATTTCGTGAACACGCCGTAGGACTTCAACATTTTTAGCCTCTATAAAAGCGTTTGTTTCCATAGTGATTGACCGGTCACATTTATTGCTACCACCACCGATACTGTCGCTTATACCGGAATCCTTTGCTTCTTCCAATAATTCCGTGGCCATAACACTGTGAATATCTAGACTTGTAGAACCGTTATTAAAAAGTGGTATATTCTTAGGGTTGTGGTTACTATCCGCCTTATTTGAAGAATTCAAGTCCGTATAATTCTTTTCGGATCCACTTAAAATATAATTTCTTTCATTTTTGCTTTCAATTGATACAGTTTTGTCTTTTTTTGGATGATAGGGGGGCAACAATAGGAATGTTATGCCGTGAGTTCGATCGTGAAAAGGCAATAAATAACTCCAAACAGCCGGTATGACGGTGTGTTGGGTTAAATAAGATGGTGCATTGTCATCATGGTGTTGATCTCGTTCCCGTTCAACAGCGAGTGTTTTTCCTAATACATATATATATATTTTATAAAATAAATTGGCAATTAAGAAAAGCATACCTGTTAATAAGCAATGATAACCGGCTAAAACTAGTGAAAATTCACATGCATCACGATCCTCCATCGAAAATTTGACTGCTTTGCCTCCTTGCATATAAATGGTGACACTGCAAGACACGTCATCTTCACGGTTGACAGTGACATGACTAAAGTCTTCAATAGCTGATATAGGTTGAGGCTGTGTAAAATACAATATTAATCTAAGACTATTGCTAAAGTCGGTTTTATAATATATGGTATGTACTAAATTTATAACTATTTAGTAAATATATTGATCGGACCCATGAAAAATTAAAAAGTAAAATTTGAAATTGTTAATCTATGATTTTTTTATACTCTCGTAGACCGCATATTGCCTATTAATATTTCTGGCAATAAATTCACTTTAGTAGTTTGACAAGTCCGTTTTTAATTCTCCAAGAAAATATAGAGCGGCAATATATAAAAAGTTTCTATCGGCTGCTGGTCAGTGGACATTCTGTAAAAATTAATTAATTATTTCAATCTGTAAATTATATTTGTCTTTCGACCGTTTCCAATTTTCTCCAATTAAAGAAAACATTTTTTGTGTATGAATCTCTTAAAATAATTGAGATGTCTGAAAAAAGCCGTTCAGAAGTAATCTATTTTTTTCAATACGACTAAGGTATGGATGTGAAAATAACAATTACCAGGTAATAACAACGCCCACTTCCCATACAACGATAACTCTATAAATAATAATAATAAACATGTAAAGTCAAAAAATAAGGATGACATTTAGACGATTTGTGCTAAAGCACACAAAGGTCTAAGATTGTTCAATGCATTGCCAATGGAATTAAAATCTGAAACTAGGAATATAGCATTTAAGCAAAACTGTATTGATTTTATATTTATTATGATTTTTATTTTGATGCTAAAAAAATAAAATTAATAATAATAAAATAATAAAGAAAAATTTTGGTACCTATTATGCTATTCACGTCCTCTTTGTACTGTTTTAAATAAGTAAACTTGCCCCTAACTGCGCCTACTTTTACTGACTTAATTGACTTCACAATAGATAACTTCGCCATTAACAAAGACATTGAGCAAATCTAAACTAAAGAATTACTCTATAAATACATACCACCGAATTTCTTACACTTGGAATTTGACTCAAGCCATAGCGTGGGCTAATAAGTAAAACGCGTTCAACACCTTCCCTTTGGTTTGTACTGAAACATTTAGCGCCATAACTGGGTAAATTTGAGATAATATCCAAATAGTGTAATTTTGCCTAAAAATAGATATTTTATATATGTATATTAATATAATTGTTATGCAGTTAGAGTATTATGTATGTATAAATAATTTATTTGATGTACTTGTAAACTTAATGTATGTATGTATAATAAAAGTTTATAAAAAAATATGGTTAATCAAGTATTTTTTACCTGCAACTGTGTCAAAACTTTACCGGTTGAGCCAGTCATTTCTGCATTTAATTTTAGAAAGTGCGATATCAAACGTCTAAGTTCCTTCCGTTTCATTCCCTCGAATAAAGATATCGGTACAAATCTTTCTAAACCAAATTCTCGTCTAAAAGTAAATAGAATATTTAAATTCGTGCATATTATAAATATACTAGTATTTGAAACTTACTCAACAGCTTTAACTGTTAATTTTGTTGGTGAAATGTTATTGGCCAATGCATGCTGATGCATATGTAATGCGGCTAGTCTTAATGCTACCTCTGGCTGAAGTTCGGGTGCAAAGCGTTCCTGTGTCACATCATTACAGCATTGCATATATAAATAATCTAATGCATTCAGATCTTTCTGAGCCAAATCACCAGCAGACTTCGGTACAAAAGTCACGCGAAATAAACATCGCAATTTATGAGCACCAGGCCGCGCAGCGATCTGCAATTTTGTATGATATCATTAATTTACTTTAAAAGAGTACAAATGGGAGAGAAAAAGTTTACTCGCGCCAAAGATTCCTCAGGATCTAGTAATGTCAGCTTATTCCGTTTTAAACTTTTCACATGCTCCAATACGAGGCTAAAGATTTCCCCTGTAGAAAGACACAACTTGTCTAGAAGTGAACGCACCACATCCTTTCAATAAACGATTTTGATTAATTTACTCATAAATACTATCATTGTTCTATATAACATTACTATAGTTATAAAAACTATGTGTATATACTTGTAATTCATAAATATTGTAATACCTGCACAGTGGTTGAGGAATCGTATTTGAACGACTTTGTTTGCCCATTTTCAAGGAATACTTTGAGCACATTTGCCATTGGCGGTACACAGATGTCGCCCAATGAAAATGCAGATGCCTGTTTAATAATACAAATGAAACGAAATATTTTATAAATTTCTAAGAAACAATAATTAAATTTCGTTGTAAACATAAAGAAATTGTTTAATAATAGAAAAAATGGAAGTGAAATTAGAAAAATGGCTCGGGAAAATCCTATCTCCACATCATAAAACATTAGTATTATTGCTTTCTCACCGGAAATAACGGTGATCCATTAACGCAAACACTCTCAGCAAAGCGTACCCGACTAGGTCGCGTCCGTAATTTTGCACGCTTACCCGCTGAGAGGAGTGTAGATTTACGACCAGGTGCAAAGATATGCGTTGGTTGACACACCATTATTGTTACTTCGTTTTCACAAGCTCGTACCAATTGAATAACATGATCACGAGGAGCCTCTTTTACATCTTCTCCGTTTACTGCAAGAATCTGGTCACCAGGTTGAAGCTAATTTAAACATATATAATTTAGATTATTATTCTTAAAAATAACCTAAAGTGAGTTACTTTATTCATACTGGGTCCACCATCTGTAACGAAACGTACTATAACTGGTCTTTCGCTGCCAGCAACGAAACCGAAACCTAGGGTAGGGCTGCGCTGAAGAGTTACCATTCTTGGTTCGGGTAAATTGCCATCACACTGTACATTTTCAGGTGCCTCATATGTGGATGTTTTATTTATGTGACTTCATAAAATAGGAAAAACATATATATTAACATTAATGATGTCTAATTTTTATTTCGACTACTTACTTTATGTAATATGATCTTCCTTTTGAATCTATAGCCCTTTCCCATCCATAAGGCAATACTTCATATTTACTCCAGTCTTCGCTAGATGGTAACCAACTGGAAATCTTAGCAACATGGCTAGTAAGAAGAAGATATATTTTAATTATGATTTTCCTACGATGTGAACAATTGTAAATGCTTTGTTAAAAATTTCGAGGCTAATGAAGTGAACAACTGGATATCATGATCATATCTGCAGCAATCCATTTGGCTACAAATGAGCTCATCCGTGTGCATCCATTCATGAAATTAGTTAATGCATATTATCCCAACTAATAATAATTTGCATATACTATTAATGGCAGTGGTAGAACCTCTACGATTAATTGCAAATTAATGGACAAGTTTAGGATAACTTCCCTTTTTATCTCCTACAGCTAGTTATTGTTCCTTAGTTATATTTAGGAAAATTACGTGTCTATTGATAAAATTAATGCAGTCTGAATGCAGTAAGTTGTCTATTTTAAAACTATCACCCTTGATACTGGTAACTTGTAGCTAATATGTTCGCTATCATTTAATACATGACTTTCAAATACGAGTATATATGTATGTTTGTATATTTAATATTATGATATCTATCATAATTTGTTAACATATTAAAGTGTTTGTATAATTATTACAGTGCAAGCCACACCTCCTTACTTACTTGCAATAATATAGCCGGCCCTCTTTACCCATATGAACAGTCCACTCATCCTTCAGAGTTTCCTGTAGCGCTTGTAATTGTTGACCAATTTCCTTCCAACTTTCAGTATTACTCAATACAGAATAGTCTTCTGTCGTAGTACCAATCAAAGCTGGAAATTTTGAGGTAAGAATGGAATGAGCGCTACAACAGATTCCGTTTTCACTCTGATTACCAGGTGATAGAGAATTAGTGTCCATTGTGGACACAGGTCCATTATTTTTTGATATTATTGACGCTGTTGTTTGTACATTTTTCAATTTATTTGTGCTTTTGTCTACCAATTGAGGAGTTGTTATTCTATCACTGTTTGATCGCCCCGAAGGCAGTAACATCATCGAAAAGCATTCGTAGCTATCGGGAAGTAATAATTTAACATGTAAAATACATGCGTATATTTTCTAAAGGTACTTGATTCCAATAATTGCCAAAGATATTCCGAATTTTTCAATAATTGCAATATAATCGGTTGAGATTCTAGAAAACGTAAATACGTTACAAAAAGTTAAGTAATAGTCTTAATTTAGGTTTATAATTTAGTTAATAAGCATAGTTTTAGGTAGCCGAACATTGTGGACTCAGTTCGTTGTTTCACATATACTCTTCACTTGACACATATATTTTTATAATTTGAATTGCTAACCTTTTTATTAAATGAAAATGGAAAAACGAAGATAAAATGATAAAAAATAGTGCTATAAATAAGCTTAATGCTATACATAAATTAACGCTGTTGGGTTAGTTTAATGTAAACATAACTAGATTAATGTGTATTGGGTATTAATGTAAATTGGCGTTGTTCGTACCACTGAGCAAAAAGGGAGTCAATAGTTAGTCAGTATAGGTGCCATTTTCATTACAAACAACCTTCTTTATACTAACAATATCCAACCGCGATGGGCACAAGTAGTATTCTATATTACTGAAATTATGGCTTAATCGGCTACAGTTTTTCAATGCGACAAGCAGTGGCTGTTATTACCACCATTTGCTTACAAAGCAATAAACATACTATGTTCCAATAACTACATACTTATATGCACACTCGTAAGATGTGTATGCCTACAATGGCAATATACTAAAGCTATTTGAAATTCTGGTAAAATATACCCTAATTTTACAGTAATTTTGAAGCTTCGAATTTAAGGTGTTTTTTAACATGGAACACAACAACGAAAAGATTTAACTGAATAACGCGAATTGTCCGCGTTAAGTGTTAGCGACTAACATATTGCCAAATATATGTAGTATGTATGTATGTTTGTATGTATACACGCCAAGTGAATAAGTTTGTAAGCGTAAACTGAAAATATAATAGAATGAAAACTTCAATTTACCATCAAAATAAGTATTTAGAAATATGCTTTACCCGTTGGCCTTAATTCTTTACAACAAGTACTGTACACTGTATACAATTTACAATACTGTGGTAATAAGAATTGATAACAAAACATTATAAAGGGTTTAATGTCAATTTATTGACTTTTTTATAGTAATTAGTTCGAATAAACAATTTCAGAAGCGATTCATATCATATGTATTAATAGTGGGCTGGCGAATTCATGCAGCCAGATGCTCGTATTTCTTTGTCACATACAGTATATTTGGGAGCAAAATCAGAACAAAGCCATACAAATCAGCAAATTTTATAACATATTTTTATACTTTCGCAACATGGTGCTACAGAGTATTCAAATTTTCTTCACTTAACGGTTGTTTGTTATACATACCTACAGTGCGTTCAAAAAAGAACTATTTTTTGTCAATTTCGATCACTGACGCGTACAATTCGGTCAGTTTTTTTGATATTTTTAATGCGTCACGTCGTACCGTGAAATAAGAAAAATTAGTGCTATACTGAGCAAACTTTTTGTAGCAGCCTTTCAAACGATGCATACTAAAGATCCCTAATGGACTATTAACCAAAACTGCAAAGCATTTAAATACGAGTTGTACATTTGTGACCATTATAAAGGAACTAAAAAATTTTGTTTAAAAAGGGATTCGAACTATCTCTAAATACAATACGGAAAAGACTTCAGAGATCTGGCAACAAACGCAGCAATACTGTAATCAAACCCCTACTTTCAAAACACAATTTGAAAAAAGCTTGCATTGAGCCCAGGAAAACATCAACCGTGATTGGAGCAATGTAATATTTTCAGATAAATCACCTTTTGTATTCTTCAACGTCTTGAGACGTGTTTGGCTAAGAAAAGTGCAAACATTAATTCACAGGAGTATTAAGCAGCCACAAAAGTTGCATGTTAAATGGATGCTTCTCTGTTCAAAGATTTGGGGTTTAGAATTGCTTCACAGAAAACCGAAATGCCCTTGAAACGATAAAATTGTGTAAAAAGGGTTTACTGAAGTCAGCTGAAATGCTTTACAACAAAAATTATCATGGATAATTGGATCCTGCACTACTACTAAACACTATTTCCCATAAACGCGACCTACACTGTGGAAAACGAAAACATTATTTTTTGAACACGCTATAAAACTAAACGAGATAGTTATAGAGTTATACAAGTATGTGTGTATATACATATAATATATTCACGTATATATATAATATTTGTATATAGTCAGAGTTTAATTAATTCCAATATGAATATATGTTATAAAAAAAGAAAGTGTTCAAATATGTATACACACTATTTTTGGGACGACTAGACGTTATTTTTGGAGTGTCATGCGCATACAGAAGCAACGTATTTAGACTTGATAATCATATTTGGTAAATGGAATATTACTGACATCCTAACTTTTAAACTGTCAAACATTAATAGAAAGCCATACCGGCTATCATTGAATAAGATATCCATTGTTTGATATATAGTGGGTATAGTGGGTACCAGCACTCTAAATCTTTTTTAATTGTTAACAATTTTAAATAGTTTTACGTCCGGTTGCTTTGCAAATGCAAAACTCCCTTTCCGTACTACATTTATAACGGGTGAGTAGAGGTCATTTTTTCAATAGCCTTTTTTTGACAGATCACGTGTGAGTCGTGTCAAGCTGTCATGATATTTTTGTTCAGTATTGTTTGGCATTTCATCATAAAAAGACTTACGCTTGAACAATGTTTACAAATCGTTTAACTTTATTACGAAAATTCACGTTCTGTAAAGAATGTGTTTCGGGCGCTTCGCTCAACTCGACATAATCGACCTACTGAGCGTACTATTCGCAACACTATCACTCAGCATTCATTAGAAGAGCAAGCTGTGGAAATTCAAGAGCTGCCATTTTAGGGGCATGTCATTTTGCAGTATATTCACATATGTATGTCTGCTGATCCATGATGCCTTCAATTCAATAGATTGGACCAACTGTACGAGAATTTTATTGTTTACTTGACCCACCATGTTTTAAAGTTTTTGTGCTGAATCGTGGCTCATACTAGGTATTAGGGGGACGTGGCACTTCTCTAGATCTTTTCCCCACATAAAGAATAATTAAAATCTAAGGATTTAAGGATTATCGGACGCAAGGGAACTTTTTATTCTTTCGTAATTAGCAAAGATCACAGGTAGCAAGTTTTCTAGGTGTTGGGAATCAATTTCTTGTTGCGAATCTTTTATATATGTGAAGGGTATTATAGCTTCTCCGCAAGGTTTTTTATAACAACATAACATATATTTTTTATATCAACATATTAAAATAATAAAAAAATATTCAACACACCTCGAACATTTAGAAATAAAATATCAAAATTTTTTAAATCAATAACTCACACAGTTTTTGAGCTTTTTTAACATGTGGCAGCTTCAATCAACTCCTTTAGTTGGTGAAAAAATATGACAAACGAATCGATCACTGTCAAAGCCAAAATAATTAAATTAGATTTATTCAAAGAATTGTGCGTACATAAGTATATGGAGTTTCGGTTACCGAATACGCACTGTATTTTAAAATAGTTTTTACATATTTTGTTTATTGTACATAACTATGTACGCTAGATTTGTATGTTAAACATTTTTAATGATAAAAATATTCTACGTACAGATCCGATTGTTAGCAATATAATTTTCGAATGATATTTATTGGGACTAATTTGTCAGATTTGAGTTTTTGATATTGTATTTGGTATAAAATTTACACTGTTTGAAAAAAGTCGCACTTAAAGATTCAATTGAAGTTGTCATAGTAATAATCATGTTATGTCGATCCAACCAATCTTATGGGCAGCACAGTTTTCGGTTAATGATACCATACCATAATGACATTACCATAGCCATAACTACAGCTATCAGTTTTAGAATTTTGGTTTTCCGCGACAGTTATAAAAAGCTGTTAGCATTGTAGTATTGTGCTTTAAAAACTAAAATGGCATATGCTCGTTGTAAAATCAAAATGCATTCCAAACACTTACACAGCTCTACAAATTTTTTTTAGTGGCCCTGGATATGTTAGAAAATTTTGATGTTTTCAAATGCCCAGACAACGAATTTATTCATGAAAGTTTATATGAATAATATAAGATACATAATTTGCTCAATTATCGGCTTGTTAACAATAATATTTTTTTTCCCAGCCATGATTAGGGTTTTGCGAACCTTTTTAGCGTATACAAAGGGATCAGTGAGATATCTACTTTCAGGCTCCTTAACGAAAATATGCAAAAAAGGATGCAGAAGGTTTTAAGATTGTAATCATGATGGCCTGTTTTACTAAATGAAAATCTCGCTTTCGTTTCAAGAGTAATTCGCATGCTCTCAGAAACAAAGATGTCGCCAAATTCTCAGAAATGGGTGAATGGGACATACATATGTGCTTACATACGTCAAAGTTATTTTTTTTAAATGAAATCAGTGATTTAATTCGTGATCTAGTTAGGAATGCTAAAGCAATTTGCCAAAGCACTGGACGTGGAAGGATATTGATTTAATTACATTTGTAAAAAATTTGCGAAGCTTAGTAGGAAAAGTGGAAAGGTAGAATATTTGATGGTCCTTAAATACGGCAATTAATTCAAAATACACTTTATCAAAGTTATAATGGTTTTGGAAAGAGAATCTTTCCTAGGTAACCATAAAGTAAAAAATTAGTAAGAAATTGTGCAAAATTTGCAGGTTTACTTTCACATCCTAGAAGAAAATATGTTTGTCAGGTTAGATTATCTCCGAAATCATCTGGATAAAATTCGAATAATTTTGGAGATTATAGTGATTAACTAGAAGAGCGGTTCCACCATGATGTGACATGATAGAAAAAATGTATCGAGGTTGATAGTCAACTTCTTTTTCTTAAAATGAGATTTTCAACTCAAAAATTATAAAATAAAAGCTGATAAAAGTTGTTTTATTGAAATTTAACATTTTGAAATTTGTCTTTCTTTTTACTTCCATATGCTCATTTTTCTAATTCATTTTTTTTTTTTGTAATGTAAAATAAAAAAAAAATTAAATAACGAAAATGTATGGTAGTTTTGTTGAGAAATTAAATTAAATTGTAAGCTGAAGTTTTCGATATAATTTTACTTTTTAATTTTCAGTAATTATAACTCTTTGTAATACAATCTTCCGGCAGTCAAGAGTAGTAGAGATGCCGTTCCTACGACAATCGGGTCTACGTAACACGAAACGGTCCCGAATTTTTATTCGGCCAAGGAATGTAAACTCGGCAGTATTCTTCAAAATTATTTCAGGAATGTTTTTGCCGCTACTACAACAACAACAGTAGTAGAGGTGTTCATGTCAACATGTTTAATTTTGTTCATTAGCATGAGCTGTTGCAAAGCATGTTGACACATCATCTAACTAAGGTAGTTTAAATGGTTAATAAAAAATATGTGATTTTAAAGGTTTCAAAAAAACGACCATATTTTAAAAAATTGCTTAGAGTATATGCCCTTACGTTAAGTTATACATCTAGTATTAATAAGTTCATTGAAATAACTTGATCAATTCATCTCCTAAATCTTAGGTACAATAAAAACTATTTTTATCAATGGTGTTAGGAACAACCAATAAGGGAAAAACTACTAATCCGTGCAACATGTAGAGAGTGCATGCAAATAAATATTCTCTCAAAATACATATGAGAGACTTAACGTAATTTTTCTCAGTTAAAACACATGTGCACATACACTACAAATCCATGCATACGTATCTTTTGAATACATATGTGAGTATACCTTAGTGACGGTTCGCACATAAAGACTCTTGTTGCCCAAACTTGTAGTTCACTTGAAAGACGAAGGCGCTTGCATTATATGTAAATATTATATAAACAATTGTTAATGTTAAAAGTTCCCATAACCGCTAGGGATAACAGCTTTCAGACTAAATAAACATTTTTCGTGCAAAAGCATTCATGTTTCGTAAAGTATGACATTGTAAATTTTATATAAAAATTTCATGGAAAACGATTTAAAAATCGTCTCGAAAAAAGTAGGTTTGCGATGATCCTCAGAACTTAGTGCTGATTCATCCGAAATGAATGAAAAACTGTGCAACATGTTGCTCTCAAAATTCACACGTTTACTACATGAAACCATACACATTCTGAGCCGAGATAGTGTCTCTTTGCGACCTATAATTGAAAATCATTGCATGAAATATTATGAAATTTTGAGAGTACCCAAGCTCTAGTACTCTTAAACGAAGATACAGATTTTTTGTTTGTGACACGATTACTCGGTCCAAAACCAAAGATTTTTCAAACCATGTAGTAAACATTTTTGTACAAATACACATACATTACTCATCTTCACGTAAAATCTTAATAACTTTGTATGTGAATGTAAACATACATACATATCTATGTATACCTATACAAAAACATATTACAAAGTTATGGTAGATTCGCAGTCAGCATACATAAAGCAGTCAGTGCCACACTCTTTAATTTAATTATTCTTGGTTGCTGATTTTTGTATTGTTCTTAGTTTGTATCTGTTTTACTTAAATTCGTAAATACAAAACATATGTAAGTATCTGAATATGCGATGAAAAGTATAATTTAGTTCGCGCATATGTATTAAACAGCTCAGTCATACAGTATATACAGAAACAGTTACGGACAATAAAATAGAATCAAAGTCTTATTTCCAACTATTTGCAAAAAAAAACGTGTTACCACAGTTCTTATGAATCTTAATGAGGAAACAATTATTTTTTATAGTTAATGAAAGCAAACCTAACTTATTATAAATTTAAGTGTTATTAGCAGAAAACTTTAAAAGGAACTGTCAGGAATTTCAATTGACAATAAAAGGGTATCACGAGACCGAAACTCGTAAAAAGACTTTTATTATTAAAAAATGCATATAAGTTAGAATTTCGTTGTCGACATAGATTCCCCTAGAGCTTTACAGATTGAGTTCGGTATTGAATACCACGCCTCTTGGACTTTTTGCCACAGTTGCTCCTTATATCGTGGTTTAATGGATCCCAATCTTCCAAACCTTCTACAGGTTTTTTATAGAATTAACATCGGAATAATAAAATTGCGCCGGCCTAGTCATAACATCGATCCCTTGATGTTATAGCCAAGTCTTAAACACACCCGAGGAATGTTTCGGGTCATTATCATGCTGGAACTGCCAAACTAAAGCCATATTCCATTCAGCATAAGGAAGCATTACATCTTTTAAAATTCTAAGGTTCAACTCCGTACCACGAAATTCATCCCCATATTACCACCTTCGTGTTTCAAATTTTTTGTCGTGTATTGGGGATTTTTTTAGCATTCTTCGTACGTTGAACCCAATTTTTTCCATGGCTACCTACCATATTAATTGTAAATTCATCGGACCAAGGGAACTTATGCTACTTTATTGCACTATTTTCACCGATTCAATTGATATGCGCTGAAGCAAATGCAATATGATCGTTCCGCTTTTTTTTTGTCAACATTGGAACTTTTCGGGACAAATTTCGGAAGAGATTATTTTCGAAGAAATTTCTACACCCAATTCTGTTTGGATACATACAGAGTACTTCAAAGGATTGCGTTTTGACAAAAACTCTATACACATAATTGTCATCCTGTTACGTCGTTTCGTGGGCGTCCCCTTAATTCACATTTTTTGGAGGTTTCAAAGCAGTAAACCCAAATTTTTGGGAACTTTTTATAATTTTTGAAGATAAATATTGCAGGAATCGATTACAGGCAAAATGTATCCGAAATTTAGCGGTCAATTAATTTAGATTGTTAATTATTTCGAAATCATCTATTTGTTCTATTTTATTGTCAGTAACTGCACATATACCAAAGCAGTGTGGAGACGATGCACACCCACGCATAAAATCTGACATAAAGAAGAGTGGGTAAAAGCCAAAAAAAAAATTGAGTATTTTCTAAATAAGTATGTGTTGTTGTATATACAATATTAAATATACTTATGTATGTATTAGGGTACACAATTTAAAATATATAATTTATAATTCATAAAACATTCTTAATAATTGGGTTTACGTAGTCATAACGAAATTTCATTGACATGGAATATTATGTGGGTAGCTATTAAACTACTTATAATAATTTAGCATTTCAAATACATATGTATGTACATACTTATGTACTTTACGTTATTCATGTTTTACTGTCTTCAGTGCAGTACCGCTTTACAATTACATTCTGACCTCTTAAAATCTTCAGGTATCCGATGTCGATAAGCAATAGTGAAGAACGTGGATACATACATAAGTACGTACATGTACGGTATCAATCATATTCAAGTTCATATATGTTCAGTCATAATGATGAAACAGTACATTAATCCAAATTTAATAAACGTTGTCGATTAATTGTTGTCAACCACTATACAAAATTATATATATCTATGTATATACAAGTGTATGTATAACTAACTTGGGCGTTTTCCGTCAAATATAAATTTGAAGTAATATCAATATTACAACTGTTTGTATTTAATAGCACTAGAACTTTTGTATTATCAACGTATACAATGTTACAAAATAAAATAAATTAAACAATTGCAACATCAATAAACTAAATCCAAAATACGGCATCAATAAGACGACGCTGACGTCCCACGCTGCCAAATCTTATACATGCATACATACATATGTATGTTTGTATGTGTGTCGGTTTAGTCGTTGTCACACTTTTTCCATTTCAATGGTGTTTAATCAAATTGCATACACAAATGTTAAGAGTAAACAATTAATAATGATTTTCTCGTTTATTTCCACTTGTACAGTTCATTTAAAGGTTACCCCAACTGACATCGTTACACGGACATGTAAGTATGTAAGTTGTGTTCATCTACACATACTCTTGCATACTGTATGAAATATGTTTTGTTATGTTTGCAATTTTAAACCGATTTTTTTTTGCCTACGATGAATTGAGGGAGGCAAAGGCGCGTCAAGTTTCCATATTTAGTGGACACGTCGTATGTACTGTACGAACGAATTCGAAAACTCATACGCATACACAGACCCACACCCAAATGAAAATATTTTATTTTTATTTTTTGTAAAATTGTGTATTTACTTAAGTTCTTCTAAATTACCCGTTGACTGCCGAGATTCATGTCCGCACGAAATCACTCTCGCGTATAAACTGTTTATGGTTCCAACACGCTTGCAAGTATTCAGCGCCGTGTTCGGTTTTGTGGACATGCTCCAAAGAATGAATGAGTTCCTATATACTATATAATATATATATATATTTGTACGTTGCATAAGCTTTTATATTCATTAATGTCTCTTGTTATATAATAAAGCTCTAAAATCTAAGCTTTTAAGTATGTTGTGAATTTTTAAGGTTGTGATCTCCTCTAACGTAGCAAAACTGGAGAACTTACAACCAATTAACCAACTTTAGTGTATATTTCGATTATTACAATTTAAGTTGTTTGAATTTACAAAATACGACTTTTTATAGTTGAAATCTGGATGTCTGTTTGCCCGTCTGTCCGTGCAAGACTTAACTTGTAACTTGAGTAAAAATTGAGATATCGTAATGAAATTTTCTACCCATATTCCTTGGCAAAAAAGTAAAGACGAGTTCGTTGATGGGCGTAATTGGACCAGTGCCACGCCCATAAAACTCCATTAACCGAAAACCTATAAAGATAGATAAATTCACAGTGGAGCTTTTAACACCTTCATAGGCTCCCTTCCAGTGAACAGCGTACTTGAAGTTCAAAAACTACCTATTTCATAACAAGAGCTCGAGTTGCCGCGTGAAATAAGAGTGACCTTAGCGCAACTTCGCTCTAGATATTGTAGCAGGTTAAACTCTTACTTATTTAGACTAGACCCTGGCAAACAAAATCTATGTCCCGCATGCAAAGAGTCCTCGCATAACACTTATCACCTCTTTGTATGCCCAAGAAAGCCTACTCATTAAACTCTCCTCTATCTATGTCCCGAACCCGTCGAAACAGCTCGTTTCCTGTGCCTAACGTTAAGTGACTTCGAAGACAGCCAACTTATTGCTTTCCCCTAAACATTATCTAGATAATCACAACAACAGCGCCTACTTCCCATATAACAAAACATTAAAAAAATTGATTATTTTACTTTCCAGTATACAAATCAATAAAGATCGTAAAATTACTTGAAAATAAGTTCTCAAGTATACCTGAGCAATGTCAAAAATGAATGCAGTCAGCCCTTCCGTTTCCCAATATATACTAAATTTAGCCTCTTCGGTTGAGTTTATATCACATATGATTTTGTATTTTTTTCGCTGTAGGGAAATAAAATATAGTTATAAAACTGAGCTTCATAATAAGTGAATATGATACCAAATATGATTGTATTCCATTCACGATTTCGTTGAACACTAATCGAAAGTACTAATAAATCGACCGTTCGAACTCAAGGGCACAACACACAATAAAAACACATCGTTTTAAACTCTTTTCAACACAATTTTATGCATCACGTATTCAACACAAACAAGAAGTTGTCAGAAAATTTAACTGTAAATAACTGACCTACGAAAAGCGACATATATTTCCTAGTATTCGAGAATCCTGTTTAACATAACATAACGTTATTTAAATCAGTTTAAAGTTTACATTTGTTTGTCTGTACGTTCTACTATAAAATAAATGAGAAAAAAATATAAACGATTAAAAAAAATACGAAAAAATCAATACTCTTGAAAAAAAAAATATGCAATTTAGAACGATAACATTTGTATTTCTTGCCGAAGATTTTGGAATTTATGAAGCCTCTGTAGGGCAGCAAATACAGTTTGAGCATAATTACTTTTCAAACACAGCATATGTTTCTTGTGGCTAATGTGGTTTTACGGATTGTTAAGTATTATTTCAATGAAATAACTTAAAACTCTAATATAATTTAAATCTCTATTTTATACATAACATTCAATATTAACTGCATTTAAAAAAAAAACTTTTTAAATTTGTTAATATGAATTAGCCAAGAAGGTTAGTCTACAGTTGAAAGTGTTTTTACTTAATTCCCAATTCCTTTAATTCTTTTTCATCATCTACGGAATCTTCATCGTCAGAGCCATGCACTGATGGAGCAGGTGTTGTGTGTCCTAGAGAAAAAAAGTTTAAACAAAAATTATTACGTATTAAATTAGAAAGTTACTGGAGGATGTAGGGCTTGGTGGTTCACTGAAGGGCCTAGAAAAGTTCAATGTACTCCGTGAACTGTAGAGAGATCCTTCATCAACATAATCAGGGTATACAGCTTGTAGTGCCTTAACTCTAGCTTGGCGGTAGTACTTTAAAAAAAATTTTAAAATTATGTTTTATAAAATAAATTTACTTAAATACACTCATTACTTACAATTCCTAAAGTTCTCCAATCTAAAAGATCACTAAGACGTTCCGTACGATTTCTCTGAATTATGCGTTGTCGCCGATTTAATCTTGAAAACTCCATCATAAATCCGGAAAGTTGTTGAACACTGTTTTCCAAACCAATGTATCGACGGTCAACAATATATATACCATAAGACTTCGGTTCGCAAATATGCTCATTCATAAAACAACCAAAGCCAGACAAGTTTGTAGTTATGCTTGGTATTCCCATAACTGTGCACTCCGCTGGGGTGTATCCCCAAGGTTCATAGTACGACGGAAATACTCCTAAATGGCAGCCACGTACAAATTCTTCATAATCAATGCCAAAAAGTGGATTTGTAGACGTTAAAAACTCAGGATGGAAGACCATTTTCACCCTATCATGCACCGAGTTGAACAAATTGCAGCGCCGAATAGCACTCAAAACAGGGTCATTCCAGTCATCAACCTGAGTAACAATGAGTAAAATGTTTGTATAATATAGTCCATTCATAATGTCTATGCGATATATGTATGTATCTTACTATATTGTGTGTAGTTACTGGAGGCATTGAATCTCTCTGCATAGCGAACATGCAACGTTTAATTTTAACCAAATCATCTTTTGTAAGGAGTTCATCTGGGCTAGGTATATGTCCTTTCACGCAAGAGTCAAACATACGTTTGCCAATTGAATTTTGCACGTTGTTAATGGTGTCGCGCAATTGTTTAATAACTGCGTGCCCACGTAGGGAATCTACATTAAAATTATTTACTTTGGTGGGAAATATAAGGAACGCGACAACAGTTGTATCAGGCTTTTCATGTTTTAACATGGCATTGAGTCGAGCCAATGATTCTATGAATATATCAGCACCTTTATTTCCAAATTCATAGCGTCCAGCAATAAAAAAATAAAGCGTCTTATCTAAATCAAAATCCATATGTCTATAAATAAGTAAATGATTAAAATCTCTTTTTGCACATCAGCAATTGATAATAGAACCTACCCATAAAAATGTCCCCGAACGAATTCATTGATTTTTTCTTTAGCAACTGCATGCAAGTTTTGGAATTCGTGTATGGCGGAAAATTTTTTCACATTGAGCCCATTTGGCGTTATGATATCAGGTTTTCGCTTGAGTAAATGTTCTGCTTCATATCCGGTAATTTCAGATACTGTTGTGAACACATGACATAAATGAGTGGCAGCTCTTTCAATACAATATCGGTGGTAAATTTGTCGTTTTCCCGCTTCTTCATCTACAGCAAACTTGTCCAAATTATTATAGAAATCTGTGTTACCAGCACACAGGTAACGGCCCAAGAGTGTAGCGTGCGTTGTGAAAACTGTAGCAATTTCTATATGTCGTGTCCGTAGCGCGATCAGGCCAACACCCGCTTGCCATTCGTGAAAATGAGCGACTATTCTAGGGGTTTGCAGTTCATGGTTGCTAGAATAATCTAAAGCACGATTTTGAAACTAAAATTATAGTAATCAAATCATTGATTATTTACTTTATACGTGTACTTATTTACCGTTGCCTTAGAAATAATATCCTAATCTCACATTCATTTGTGAACCAAATTTAGCTGGTTCAGCTTACAATTCCTTTAATTAAATAAGCATAATGGTTTTGATAAAAATCACTATAGCAAGACATACATATTTTCAGACTACTTGAAACCTGAATATACACATATGTGAGGTTAGAATCGTGCTATACTAAGGTAACAAATTAATATGTATGTATATACAAACCTCTTCAAGAAATTCAGTAATCATAAAGCCTAATATAATCGCATCGTTTGTTTCAACATCTAAATGTGGTACGCCTAAGATTTATTATAAAATGACAAATATACATATATATATATATATATATATTAACTCGTTTATAAATCTCTTACCAACATGACATTTTTCCCATAACTCTGATTTGAATTGATCTAATTTCCATGCACCTGAGCCGATATCAAAAAGTATGAGTTGTGGGTTACCATCAACTAACCAACGCCCTGTATGTATTTTATAACCTCGCGTTCTCATTGTATTCACTGCATCTAGGAGTGGATTACCGCGTGGAAATTCTATCTCCTCCATTTCTGTGCGTGCACAATGCTCCTTATAAGGGCCCATGAGACACAGCTGCTCACCCATCTCCTCTGTTGAAACATATGCTTTCGAACGAATGACTGTGTAGATGCCTCCAACTTTATTAGCCACCTCCCATGCTATTTCAAAATTCCATCGATTTTCTCGCGACGCAACATCACCGCGATCAAAGAAATCTTTTAAGTCAGCACCGGACTCTACTCGAGAAAATCGCCGATTCATCTATAATGAATAGAAAATGAATTAATGTAATATAAATATTTTGAGAACTTTCTAAACTTTCCTGGTCCTCCATTCGAAAGGAAAGTTGTCTTCGCAACATTTTGTTCCGATTTACAATACTACTGGCTACTGAATGGATTGGATTTTAAATGTAAAATCGTCGCGAACTATTATCATATCAATCGATGTATTCCAGTTTCTTATCGCCTATTAATATGTGTTTGTTTTAAATAATGAGTTGTAATCAACATAAATTATGCAATATTTTTTACCTATATACATACATACAGATATTAAATACACTTGTGCTGACGCAAACATCTAAACTCCTAAATGTTCTGGGATTCCGTAATTTCTTCGTGAAAATTTAACATTCAATATATACACATTTTATATCTTAGAAGAGAGTATCCTTAATCTCTTGCTCCTCGGTACAAATTCATCGTAATTATATCCTTTTGAAAGCCATTGTTTTTTGATTTGTACTAACAGATTTTATATATACTTTACTGAACAATTGGCAAGGTTTAAGAAGCACCTTGTTTTCCATTAAATTGTAATATTTTAGATTTTATCTCTAGATTGCAGATTAGCACGTTCAAAAATTATGTATGTATGTATATTCATTAAATTGAAAGACTAATATAAGAAATAATAGTGGAAAGTGTAGCGATCCAAACACTTGAATAAAACTTATGATGCCCTTCAGTATAGAAAGCACAATAGCACTGTAATGCTCTGCTAGGTGCACAGGTCACTATGTTATCGATGGAATTTAAATTATATAGATAACACGTTCCACTACTGCATGTCTCACTTACTGAATTGGAGAAGAGCTCTTGTGTAGATTAACTGATCTCATTCATGCATTTTAAAAATAGAATAATACTAGTGAGATCCGACGGCGCGTTGCTGCTGGTTCATATACATTATTTACTATTATATTGAACTATTAAATACAATAAAAAATGTTATTTACGAATAAAGGACAAAAATAATCCATGAGATTGTACTTGAATTTAAATTTTAAACTGAAATCTATAATTATTTAAATTTTTTTTTTTTTATCTTTAACACATTTTTTTATTTCTGAATTGTTTTACTTTTAACATAAACTGTTCTTTCTTTTAAGGTGGAACAAAATGGACACAGTGCGCTAAATTTTACTAAAAATCAGTTCAGTTCAGTAAAAGTGGCGTGAGATCCTTTCTTCTGACGAATCTAAAATAAATATGGTAGGTAGTGATGGAAAAGATTGGGTTCGACGTCCGAAAGCGCTGAAATGAATCCCTGATATACGACAAAAACTTTCAAACACGGAGGTGGTAAATCATAATATAAGAATGTTTTTCGTGGTACGGAGTTGAACCACGGTAGAAATGTGATTACTATGTACTTATCTTTATATTCTCGCCTTGTTGTTTAAGAATGTATTAGTTTTATGTTCGCCTAAAGTATATTTGCAACACCTACGACTAAACAAAATATATATAATATATGTATGTACATATAATATTATAAATACCACAGGATATGAGACAACAAAAATTTCGAAAAATAGGCTTAGAAGAAATTTTCACAACAATGTTTTTAAATTCATTACTTTTCTATGGCTAATCATTTAAATTGTCCTTATAATGGTATTATGTTAAAGATA